AAACCAAAATTGGTATACTTGGGGCATTCAAGAAAATAATAAAAAGCATTGAACTTTGAGAACCACGTGATTGTAACATGTACTAGTCTTTCACACAGAATGTAGACCTTTACAGTGACTTGGATTATCTTTGAATAACGATAATGAAGTAGGGCCCTTTGTTTCAGTTTGAAGAGTGTTGCCGACTGCAGCCATATACGAAAGATTGTGGAGACTATGCGTTCTAGCTTTAAGAATTGCAAAAATAGTTTTAATACTTTGATTATAATTAGACAAAGTTGTGTGTGTGTGTGCGTGTGTGTGTGCGTGTGTGTCTGCTTGTACTAGTCCGCACTGTATGGCTGGACTATTGCTCAGTGCGGCGTTAAACAACAAACAAACAAATAATATTCGGGACATTGTGTGTGTGTTAAAACGTGAAGATATTCCAGCGTCCGTTTGTTGATAATTTTGTAAAAATGTGTTTATGTCTCGGTCTAAACTTCAAGGCAGTTTCATAAGTGCAGATGTAGGTAAACCTGTGACAATTCTTGCTTCTTTATTAACTGGAGCATTTGTCCATCGCTGATTTCTATACAATACAACTGTCCTAGTATTCTGATGCATATTCTAAAATAGGCCCAACATACAGTATATATATATATGCACTTTTGACAAAACACTTCTTGGAAGGTATGTTTTAGTCTTCTCAAAGATGAAACCATTTTTGAAGCTTAGGGGTTACATGGTTGGACCATTTTGTTTGTGAGCATTTACTTGCTCTAACAGATCGTGATCGTGAACAAGTTCATGTGTTTGATAAAAATTGTTGTGACTAAAATGCATAAACTTGCTTTTCTCAGGGTTAAACCTGACCAACCACAATTCTGCCCATTCACATCACATCATTTCATCATTGTGTAAGACTATATCTTCTGCAGTTTTAACATTTTTGCCGACAGATGTGTCAACCAAACCAACTGTCAACGGGTCAGCCCAGTGTTGCACTGCACGCGTGTCCATTATATTAGAAATGTTGGTATTATTAAGATAGTTGTTTGTTTGTTGTTTAACGCCTAACTAAGTCGTGTTCCAGCTATATGACGACAGCCTGGAAATAATCGAGTCTGGATCCTGGGGTAAAGGGGTAAAGGGGTAAAGAAAGAGTGAGTGAGTGAGTGAGTATGGTTTTACGCCGCTTTTAGCAATATTCCAGCAATATCACAGCGGAGGACACCAGAAATGGGCTTCACACATTGTACCCATGTGGGGAATCGAACCCGGGTCTTCGGCGTGACGAGCGAACGCTTTTACCACTAGGCTACCGAACCGCCCCGGTAAAGAAAGAGTCGGGCTGATGGAAGTGTTTGGAGTTTAGGAATAATCTTGGGGTAAGGGATTGGTATGCATGGGGTGGGGAATGATCGGGATGGACACAGAAATCGTCTGTGGAATGGGAGGAGTCCGTATGAGGGAGTGTCTGCGTGTGCCGGGGAAGGGTTTAGGGTGGATAGGAAATTATGTGGGTGAGGTGAATGTCTGCGTATGGTGGGGGGAGGGTCTAGGTGGGTAGGAAAAGTATAGGGGTGGGGAGGAATGTCTGCGTGTGGCGGGGGAGGGTGTAGGGTGGGTAGGTGAAGTATGGCGGTGGGGGGAAAGGTATGAGGGGCGTAGGGAAGGCGTCTAGGTTGGGGGGGGGGGGGGGTCAGAAAATCTGGGATGGGGGTAGGGTCGGGGGTGACGGAGGGTCCGGGGTGTGTAAGTTAGGAAGTAGGCATGGAGTGGGAGTAGGGTCGGGGGTGACGGAGGGTCCGGGGTGTGTAAGTTAGGAAGTAGGCCTGGAGTGGGGGAAGGGTCGGGGATGACGGAGGGTCCGGGGTGTGTAGGTAGGTCTTGGGTGGGGGAAGGGTCTGGATGTGTGTAATAGGGTTCTAGGGAGGAATTAAGGGTCGTGGGTGGTGTTAACTTGGGATTGGTGTTAAATGTGGAAAACACCAGGCTAAGGTAAATCAAAGTCAACAATTGTTATCAACAATGTTCATAATATTTTCTTTCCTGTTTCTCTTTGTCGGGTGTGTTCAGTCGCATGGTTCCCAGAAGCAACAGCGTTTCCTTGACAACACATCCTATACCAACGTTAAATATATCTATATCCCTATACTAAATTATATACGCACATTAAAATATATCACAAATTATATATATATATATATTATATATATATATATATATATATATATACACACACACACACACAGAGAAGTACTTGAAGTATATCTGTATATACTACATGTATATATGCATGTATATAAAACTAGGTCAAATATACCTATATACCTAGTATTACTACATCACATATGATATACCAGATAAACCTGTACATAGAATATATGTTTTCAACTACATTTACAATACAAACATAAATTTACATATATACTAAAATAAACCTGTAACCACATCAAATATACACCTAAGTAGGTAGTACTAGGTACAATCAAATACACAATATTACCCCAGTAACATACTGGTATATATTCACATTAACTCTTTTGCTAGAGACAGGATATTTTAAAAAAACTGCTTCAAACATCCACTGTTTTCTCTGAAAGGAGGCGCCATTTTTGTGTGCATGCCATGCAGCATGTCCAGTTAATTTTTTTTTTAAATATTTTTTTAAAACCTGAGGCAAAATTATGTTGATTCCCTACTGTCATGATTCCTTTCCCGCGATCGTGAAGTGACGTCATACATTGAATTAGCACAACAACAATAATAATAATAATAACGATAATAAACAAAAAATTAATAAAAACAAATAAAAACAAAATAACCATAAGCTCATGTATTTGTATATTAAATTTGTGATATTTTACATTATTTTGTGCGAAGAAAATATTGCACTCAAAATATATTCACTAAAGATTTGAACCCATTAGATAAAAAAAAAATATATAAAAAAATAATTGATAAATTAATTTCACAAAAAAATAGTCTCCTAGTACAAATCAATATTGTTAGTACACAGGCATTTTGTGTTTTCGAGCCATTTTGAAAAAGATGCACTAAATTTTATATCAGAATAATTGACCTAATGATATCCAATGTAGCAACTGCCTCGATCACTCATCAAATGTAAGCCCTTTGTGATACAGTGGTGAGGAAAGCTGCCAACCACAAAGCAGCCTTAAGAAACAGAGAACAGGTCTTCAATCGTCATCATCTTCGATACCGTTAACCACTGACTATAACCAGTCGTAGGTCAGGAAAGTCCGCTGTGTGGAGCTTTAAGTCCGTTTCAGGTGTTCGATGCACGGGAGAGCGGGAAGCAATACAATGGATTTACTATGGGGCAATATACTTGAGGTAGGCTCGTTTCTTGATTTGTCATTCAATGTGTAGCAATTTTTAGGAGATGAGGATGAACACGATGAAGAAATGTAAGCAGATCAACCTTCTAGAATGTATCAATAACGGTATGTTGAATTCATTTGGATTTTTCATTTTGCATCTCGTTGGGAATCGTTTATTTGCGAGTGACTGTCGTGGGTCCAAATCTTCCTGTCAATAATTATTACACCCTGTGTTGTTTTAACTCTACAACACAAAATAAGTTTGACACATGGCATCAGGTTATGTGTAGAAAAAAATTACGTTTACAGGTGTGTTGATTGTATATGCTCATTGTCATTATCAACAAAGCGTGTTGGATTGCTGTCCTATTTTTGTCTTTAGAAAACAGAGTTGACATCTAAATTTTGGTTGAGAATATTCACCTTTGTTTAGTTTTCCCCATGTGTAAAATTGGAAAATGTCACATGGCAAATATAATTGTTTGATTGAAAAATGTAAACAAAAGATTTCACAGGTCGACATGACTTCTAGGTCATGGCCGTGTCAGTATATGCAAATTTACTAATTATGCGAATTTATATTAACATAACATTAGACTTAACATTATTCAGGAAAAGACAAGAAAAATTTATAAAAATCTTATTTGTTAATTTTAGCATTTCATTCATTTTCATCTACTATTGGGTGATAAAATTAGTACAGATGTGCTAGCTAGAAGGCCTCATTGTAATGATAGGACGCTGTTGTGGGATTGCCTTTGTTTGTGTTCAAACATCGCTTTATAAACAAACATAATACTCGGATACGAGCAACGAAACTTCATAATCATATTACATTCACATATCCGAACAGTTTGCACTAATTCAATCGTATATATGACTCGCGTGTAGAGGGTTTTCTTTGTTGTTGCACTGATTTGCCTGGTTTCTATTTTAAGATCTTTCCGTGTCAATGTCAAAACGCACGAGCAACTTTCTTTGTTTCTCTGGGCCAGTGTTGACAAGTTCTTGTCCGTTTATGCGATAAACAAGCACAGGCATTGTTCCTAATCTGGATGATATTGATGCTAAGGGTATGTAGAATCGTGCCCATTTCACAAAATGAAGTGTTACAGGGGATATTCTCCGTAATACTACGCTTTTACTATCATACACTGCTCAGTTCATTCAGAAACCCAAACAACGATACGAGCAATTTGTGTAAGATGCATGAGTCATCGGTAGTTTCCGTCGCCATCATCGGTTATTTCCGTGAGGGACTAGAAAAACAAATCCCATCAGCCAATCAGAGGCGCCTCCCTATGAAGAACTGGCCAATCATAGTTCTCAAAACATACCTCGTGGTCTTTCCCCAACATGGCGGGTGAGTCCACCTCACATCACTACTTTGTTTCTCAAAATTTGAACTTTTGCGCCTTTTTTAACGTACCTTAATTTCGTTTCAGATATTGAATTTTATGCTGATGACTCAGATGATACCCAAGACGATGGTGAGTTACAAATTTATTATCATTAATATGTCCTGTCATTATACTTGACACAGAGAGAAGATGGTAAAATTGCATGTGCCCACGGTCTTGGATTTTCATGTCGTTTCGCGCCGTTACTTGTTATCAAACAATACAAAGATCACATGGTTTATAAATTATGCGTAAGGATGCTATGTTTCCTATTATTGTATCCTATGTATTAGATGTCAACCGTAGAAACACGAAAACACGTGAATATTTGGCCTTCAATTCAAACACAACAGTGACGAAAGCCAAGATTTGGATACCATGATGGTGGGGGTCATGTGACCGGGGGTTTCCGCCGACCTTTTGAACTTGGCTCAGCGTTGCATTTCTGTTCCCGCCACTCGCTTGCCGCGGCTTGATGCTTCAATTACCGACTGTTGATGAGGTATCCGTCATTTTTTGCACCATATTAGCAGTTAGTGTTTTGCGATGCACTTGTAGATAGCTGTTTGCATTAGTGTGTACTTGAGTCATGAATGACTAAGGCTGTGAGAAAGCAGAGCACGTTGTTATCGCAAAGTAGGTCAGGTCTCTCGATATCGACAGTTTGGCCAATGGCTTCTTGCGCGCCAAATTCCCCTTCCTCTCATAGGTGAGTATCGCGACTTGGCATTTTTTCATGGACGACAGTTGTATATTTGACATATATATATCGCGATATATGTTAGTGATTTTGTTGGGGTTGATAAATACTTTGTATTATTGTTAGTGTACGACACAAGATGAATTTGTCAAGATTACTACGCACACCGTGGACTTACCATGCACATGGCGCCATGTAAACCACGTGTTGGGCTAAACCTTTCCTTGTTTTTCGCAAGTATTACGTTCTGATTTATTGCTTTGAAAGTGACCGTGATTGCAAGGGTCAATAATTACGTTTATTTTATATTTTTATGTAATAAGGGGATGAATATTTTCTTTTCCTACCTGTTTTTTCTTTTACAAAATGTCATGGCTTCAGTTCTCATTGAGCTACCTGTGACAAGGCAACCGTCGTTTTACTTATCGATGGTATGGTTTTGTTTGATAGATACATAAATTCCAGATTTTCATATTATTTAAATACAGAATGATTTAATGCACCAATTAGTTCGTCGATGCTATTGTGCTAAATTATGTCCAACTTGATTACCCTTTGGTTATGCCTGATGTGTGGGGCAGGGAGAAACTTTCTTCTCTTGAAATACTGATGCGAACACGTATCCTATATCTGTGAACAGTAGTTTGATTCAATAACTGAGCATTGAACACAGTAAAGTTTTCGCTTGTATTGAATTGCAGTATCCATAATTTCTTTTTGGACTGTAGTCGTTGGCTATGTACAGTTTAAAATGGATAGGTTGATTCCCCGAGAGTTGTAATTTTTTGCTCCGTTATTGGTTAATGTGGAGCCTTAGCTGACAAGTTAAGAATGCTTGTAGATAATACTGCTTTCACATGTCTTTTTAAGTTAATATTTCTTAACCTTACAGAAGTATCTTTCATGGTTGGATGTCTTGCAAATTTCGCTATTTGTTAGGTTCCTAGTTTCAAGTTGTATTCTGTGTTTGTAGGGTATGGCTTTGATGATGGACTTGGTGACGATACAGATGACACATTGTCGCCCCTCCAGAGACTACAGAAATATCTTGACAGCGACAACATCTTCAACAGGTATTCTTTTGGATAATCAAATTCATAAAACAATGGGATGTCACTTTCGTAAAAGTAATTGTGAATTTCTGAATGTCTGAAGATATGCTAGAATGTTTTGACATGTTAACCAATGGACTTGGCGAACATGCGATGTAATCAATTGTTAAATGAATTTATGCAGGATGACATTTACTCCAAATGTGTAATGTTCTTTTGCAACAACATGTTCATGGATACACCCATGAGTGTTATTGATTTGTGTTAATATGTGTTCATGGTGGCAGACAAATGGTTGCCCGAGGCTTGCTGGACACGCTCAGAGCAGTTGGCACCAATGAAGAGGAGGCACATGCTGTCCTTAAAGCTATGGTCAAAATCTCGGAGGATTCGGGTAAGTGGTTATCATCATTTAAAAGATGGTTGACCTATTTTTTGTTTTACGACATCATTACAGAATATTATGCATTAGTCATTCGTTGTCACTGTCTTGCTTCAACCGACACTTGTATATTATGACTGACTTTCTGGGTGCTAGTTTAATCTGAATTCTGGTTCTGGCTGTTTAGGAAACAAATCGGTTTCACAAATAAGTAGTCGAAGTTTGTTTCAAATATCAGGTTTTGAATGCTTCTTTTGAAGAGTGTTAGGACTCAAATGAAAATGCTTGGAATCATTTAATTTAAATTATTTTTTTTGTCGTGTATTCTGTTTTCCTGTTATGCAACACTATTCTGTCCTTTTTTATTTATTTTGTTTCGAGAAAATGATAGAATTTTGATTCTTTTCAGAACCAACAGTACGATCCGAGTTGATGGAGCAAGTGCCCCATATAGCAGTGTATTGTCAGGAAAACATAGAAACCTTTGAAAATGCTGTGCCAACATACATCCTGCCAATGGTTGTTCGGTATCTCAACGATGGCAATAACCAGGTGAAATAGGAATTCCATCTTTGGGTTTTGGGGAGATTTGGACATTTGCAGAATAGTAAGGTGTTAGGTCTGCTCAGAATTGATCTAGACATTGATATCTTTTAATCTGGAAATGTCCATGGCTCTGGGTTTCGATTGTCTGAAATTATGGATATTGAATAAAGGATATAATAATTGCCAAATGTACAACCTGATATTTAAATTATTTCTAAAAATTGACACTGCATTTGTTTTTAGGCTTAATATTCCTTAACAGAAGTAATGGGTAAATGTTTTCTTTGTTATGTTTGCTGTTAATAGTAAGTATCTATCCAAGGAGCCTGATTTTGAAGTGTATTTTGAAAACAGATTTGACTGTTTTTGTTGAAGGTGCGGAAGACAAGCCAAGCTGCTCTCCTTGTTCTGCTAGAGCAAGAGCTTGTGGACAAAGGTATGGTGGTTACGAATCTTATTTAGAGTATTTGTCAACTGAATGTAAAGAAATTGGTTGTTTATTAACTAATGAGTTACCTTTTTTAAAACATAAATTCTGCTTAAGTTTCATGTGATCTCTATCCAGACTTGTAGCGTTATAGAATAAGCTCAGACTAGCAATACATGTTTAAGTTGCAGTAAGCGAGATTTTGTCCTAGTTTGCAGTTGAGTCCATGTTATTTTTTTAATGGTCAAAGGGAGACAACTCTGTAGCATACAATAGATTATTCTGTCAATGGAGCTCACTAAGTTCACACCTATTAACACAAGAAAATAATAGTAAAAAATTGATCATCTGGCATCCAAGGGATGTGTAGAATCCTTAATTTGTTGAAATTCTCCTTAGGATTCGCACAAGCTTGAAAAAGCATTGAAATTCGATGTCTTGTTTAGATTCTGCCTTGAAAATGGTTCATATGCGTCGAAAAAACCTTGAATATTCTAACCAAGCCCTGTCTCAAATATATGACCTGATTTAAGTACATCTTTCCTAGATTCCAAAAAACTGTTAAAATCGTAGTAAATGTGACGTTCCATTCAGTTGGTTTAACCAGTGATAACTGATATGCTAATGTCATATCATTAAAAAAAAATCATTTCGCAATGTAACGAGATTCATTTGACCTGTGATTCGAGATACATATCCTTGCCTTATGTATTATTGCACACCTAGCTTGAATTCCTTGGTCACCAGGTACCAATATGTATCATTAGAACAGATGAGTTCTATCCCAGGCTATACTCTTCCATTCATTGTCATGCAATGTGATATTTTTCAGCCGACATCGAGGAGCAGGTAATCCAAGTGATCTTGGATCTGGCTTGTCCAGACAGTCTGGATGACTACAGAACAGAGGCAGTGGCTGTGAGTGTGACGCATTGTGTTCTAAGAACTTGTAGTCTAGATTGTCTAGCTGTAGAGTATTGAGGTGTATTGGTGTTATGTTTTGTAGACTTGATAAATCTGCTGCATTCTGCCTGAAAGACATGGGTAGTGAGATGTTCTGCTAATCCATCTTACTGCTCTGTCTTTTGCACAGAGCGTAGGCAACAACTTGATTCCATGTGATTAGAACATTGGGCATGCATCTCTCTTGGTTGTTACATTGTTGTGGTTTGAGTGAAGTATTTGAGTGTTGTGAGACTACAGATGTCATGCAACGTCAACGCTGGATGTTATACTGTGGCTCCAGTCTCTATCACAGCCAGCCTTGATGAGCCATGACACCTGTCATGACGAGGTCAGCACAAATCTTCAGGAACAGGTTGGTTGATGTTTATGAGAAGGGAACTAACTCTACATCTCTTGTTTTGGATTAACAGTGTTGGATGTTCTGTTCTGGAAGTGTCTCCAAGGTCTACAATCTTGTTCAGATTGTTCTATCAGTTGCCTAGATGGTTTCTGTATTAAGATTGATAAACAGTGTTTGAAATTGAGAATAAATGTAATGTGGTCCTTATCAAACTGTTAGAACTTCAGGTGGTCTCTCCATTGAGATACTATTGCGGTTGTGTTTTCAGCTCCTAGTCAAAAGTCTGAATATAGTAAATATCTTCTGGTCTAGTAAGACCTCGTCAGGTTTAACTACTCCATATAGTAAGACTAAAATCTACTGAGAATAATGCCAAAATATATGTTTAGGCTAGTTGACTCAAAAGTATTTGACACAGACTCCTACTGCAGAAAGCCAACCCCTCTTAATTTTGAACACTGACAAGTTTGTTTGTTTGAAAACTTAACATTTTCCACTGACAGATTCTTCAGAAGTATGCCACTTCTGACCAGGTGGTTGGGATGTGTTGTACAAGCCATATCACAGCCTGCTTGGATCAGTAGTGTTGTATTGGTCGCAGCCAGTTGAAAGAAACAATGGACATATTTTGGACTTACAAGGTCATCAAAGTGACTGTGAAATGTGTTTCTGATCATATCACAGCCAGCTTTGATGAGCTCTGTTGGTCTGCCAGCCATCTGATGTCTTGCTTTATGTTTGAAAGTGTTTTTGTTTATGTACCTACATGTATACCAATCAGTGTTTGGGAGGCATCAAAGTGGTGGTGAAATGTGTCTTCTATCATATCACAGCCAGCTTTGATGAGCTTCCAGTCACTACTGCCATCAAGATGATTTTGTGACATATATGTATGTTTGCAGATAAAACCAGGGGATTTAGGCATCAAAGTGGTTGTGGTGTGTTGAAATAATCATATCACAGCCAGCTTTGATGAGCTTGATTCTTTGACATAGCCACATTCAGCAGAATACCTTAATGTGTAATCCTTTCAGCCTATAGCATACCCGAGGAGGAATATGACGAGTCCCAGAGGCAAAAGTGCTGTCTCTTCCATCAAAGTGGTTGGGATGTGGTGACTTGGTTTCATATCACAGCCAGCTTTGATGACAGAGATGCATTCACTGAACATCAATGACAACTTATAAAGTTTTTGCATGTAGTTGAGTATTGTTGCAATTTCACACAAGGCTCTTTTGCTTGCATTTTATTGCATTTCCTATGCTTTTAATTGTTTTACTAAACATTAATACATCTATTGATATATAATATAGAAATTATTCAGCTAAACACCAGAATCTAAAGTTTACATTGTTTTCTGATGTCACGATGAATGATTTTAGACTTTACTATTTGTAAGTCGCAGGTCTTATTAATATATGACGATGAAAAGCTTGACTAATTTGTAATTAAGGCATACATGTTGAAAACAGAATCTTACAAAAAAAATTTTGGGGGTCAATGTCCAAACGTGTTATTTTCTCAATTTATTCGTGGATCGATGCTCATGATGTCAATCACTGGATTGTCTGGTCCAGACTCGATTATTTACATACCACCGTCATATAGTTGGAATATTGCTAAGTGCGACGTTAAACAACAAACAAACCAAATCTCAACTTATTAAAGTTCATGTAATGATACACATTTTTGGATTAATGTGGTTGTGCAGAAAGCGTAAAGTTTTAGATGAACAGTATTTGATTCCCCGTGTTGATGTATTCTAGTTGATGAGCAAGATGGCACCTCTTCTTGGGAAGGACATCACAGAGCGTCAATTCCTGTCTCGATACTGTGAGATGTGCACAGATCCACTCTTCCATGTCAGAAAGGTCAGTACACTTCACAGGTTTCTTTGCTGAGAATTGTTTTTGACCGCAGTAAAAGAAAACAAATTTCTGAATTGAAGTGTTTCGACCGTCTGTAGTGAAAATAAGTCCCAAGTCCAAATTTCCACTGCCTGATACGTCTTAATTAAGTGCCGAAGAAACGAACAGGGATAGTGCTATTTAAGTTGCAGGTTTGCTAACATACTATCACTCTATGTACTTGCAGTGCTTGATTAAGCTTTATACAACACCAAGTGCATGTAAAAAAAATCTTTGTGTTCACAGAAAATGGATCTTTGAGTACTCATACCTTTCTATTTTATTTACAATACTACATCACTGATCCCTGTGATGTATATTTGTTGTGCTTTCTTTTGCTTGACGTCAGCAAACTGGTTACTTCAAGATATTGTGCACATTATAGGGCCGTTAAGATTCACTCGCATATTCAGTGAATCGAACCGTATCCATTAACGAATTTAATTCGCTATTCGTGGCCACTAGAATCGAATATTTATGAATATGCAATCATGTGCATTTACATACCCTGTACCTAAAACATCCATAAGAACATATGATATGCATAGATTTCTTTAAAGACAACTCTTATAATGTTTAATTTGACAGGAATTTGGTCACTGGTCATTGTAGACCCATGAAGATTCCGGGGTAGGATAGGTCTTCAGCAACCCATACTTGCCTTAAAAGGTGACTGTGCTTGTCGTAAAAGGCGACTAACGTGACCGGGTGGTCAGGCTCGCTGACTTGGTTGATACATGTCATCGATCCCAATTGCTCGGATCGATGCTTATGATGTCAATCACTGGATTGTCTGGTCCAGACTCGATTATTTTACAAACCACCGTCCTATAGCTGGAATATTGCTGAGTGTGGCGTTAAACAAACTGGTCATTGTAGCATTTGAGTAGATACTAAGACTAAGTACCTGGACAAGTGCAGTATATAAATGTATAATATAGATAATTAACAAACCATGTCAAATAACTTATGTTGTTAATGTTTCACTGAATATAACAAATAATACATCAACTGCTGACTTATTAATGTATTCGTGAAATAATATTCGCATTCATTACCCTATATTCGTGATATGAATCGTAGTCGCCTCATAGGTCATTCGTTGCAGCCCTAGTGCACATGTCCCTATTACGTTTTACAGCAATGCATCATTAATTTTATTTATGTGACACTGGCAGCAGACTGGCCTGAATACCAACTGTGATAAATTTATGGGATCTGTGTGCAACCTGGTTGTTTGGTGCAATTTGTTATCATGCCAACATGCACCTGGTGCCAGTTTGATCAAGTTCTTAATCTTTGTATCGAGTCCTGATTTGTGTGGAAAAGGTCTGTACATAATGACCGTGAATGCTGTAGGACATTCTACGTCTAGCTTTGTTTCAGTAATGAGACTATTTGTGTAAAGAATGATGTTGGGAAGCCATTGTGTGTTCAAAGTCTTGTTCCATTGAATGTTGCAGGTTTGTGCTGCAAATTTTGGAGAACTATGTGCAGTTGTAGGAACTGAAAACACAGAAGAACATATGGTGTGTATTTTCATATTTTAGTGAAATTGAAATCCCCAGTTCAAGGTTCAAAGGTTTCCATGTCTTTTCACAATCGTTTTTTTTAAGAGAAGAGTTATTTATTTCTATGAGAGATTTTGTGTCCATGATTACTGACCATACTTCTGTGTGCATGGTATGTTTCCCCATTGCACATACTTTTGTAACCTCAGGTGTGGCCTGGTATGGGTCCTCATCACATGTGTGTGGTAACCTCGGGTGTACACCAACTGTGGGATTTGATAGTATCATGATACTTGCATGTGCTCTTATCTGTGCTGCGTAAGCCACCTTTCATACACATGGTGGCCAAATATACCTGGCACACTGATTTATGTTCGCTCGTTCCGATGTGCAGAGTTGCCTTTCTTGGGCACGCCAGAAACCAATGATTGTAGGTTCGAATCCTGGTTGGCTCCGATTATGTTTCTAGGTTTGTCAGCACCATACCCATGGGTTTCACTGAAGTGGTAAACGTCTGAGACCTGCATCACTTCGGGCTTTCCTCCCTCATTAAGCTCACATGCTGCAATATAACTGGAATACTGTTAAAAGCTGCGCTAAACCCAACTCACTCACTCGCCCTTGCTTTACGAATTGTATTATGGCCATGTTGCAATGTGTTGCCTAATTACAGGTATTTCAACTGCATGGATCAGTGATGCTAATAGCAACTATATTGCCTTGTCCCTGTTCATTCACATGCCACTTTTGTTTCAGCTCCCCAAGTTTTATTATCTCTGTGAGGATGGAGTCTGGGGTGTACGGAAAGCATGTGCAGAGTGTTTCATGAATGTCTCCTGTGCATCATCGTTAGAAGTCCGACGAAATGACCTGGCCAGTCTCTTTGTAAATCTACTCTGTGACCAGTCAAGATGGGTATGTAACTACGCAGTAATGTTCAATAACTGATGTCTGAATGTTGCGACAATTCTTCAGATTTGTTGCCGTTTTTGTTGGATCACCACCCACTGCTACTTTTGCCAGTCATGTAAATGATGGTTAAGTAGTTGGTATTTGGTCAAAATGTTTTATAAAATCTGTCGCATTTATCAACATTGTGTCAATGACCTAAAACAAATGGAACAATAAGGTGCACACAACAGGAAAGAACACAGCCTGACTGCTAGAAGTGGTCCATTTACAGAGATGCCAACCCTAATTGAAGCTTTGGAGTGATCAGTGGGGATGCGAAAGCTCAAAATAACCAGAAAAAATTACCCCTTGTGTTTTCATGGTTTAATATGATAAAACATCGACATTGGATATCAAAGGAAACCATAAACATTGAAAAAGAAATTAAAAAAAGGTCCATAATAATGTGCTTCAACCTCATCAGTGGCATCTACTGAGGCCACATTTCAACAAACACAATACGTATTATCTTGGTGATTACAGTTACATTAGCAATCAAAACCCTTAATTCAATTTTTTTTAGTGATGCAACAAAAAAAAAGGCATCAGAAAAACTTGGAAGGTGTCGGGTATCCTGCATTCTTGCAGAAACATGGTCCAAGCTCCACGTTCATATATTCTTTGTGACAATACATTCACTGTTTTGCTGAAAGACAATGTGATTTTTCAAGTAACAAAGAAACATGCAATAATTTGATCTAAGATCTTTTATGCATGTAAACAATTTTTTAAAAAGAAATGTCAATTAGGGAGGACAAGTGTATTAACGTAATTTTAGGCTCAAAAGCACCATGGTGGTCATCTCTGCATTAAACAGATTTTTGTTGTGACCTACTTTTCTCCTATTTCTTACAAGAGCCATTAGTCCAAGCTGCACTGTGGTATACATGTTACTTGGCTGTATCATGCTTATCTTATGACACTTGTTAATGAACATGGTTGGGTTTTTTTAAAGTGGAGATTTGTTTCATGCCACTAGGTGAAGATGGCTGCCTTTCAACAGCTGGGACCATTTATCTCGACCTTCGCTGACCCGAACAGCACTGGTTTGGTGGTGAACGAGGACGGCAGTATCACCTTCATCCACCCTGATGGTGAACAACAGACGTAAGTTACACCAAATCTCCTTGTCTTGGACTCTTGAATCCACTTGTGATTCCAGGGCAGACTAGCTTTATTTTGCATCACAGAGGGTTTTCTGAAGTATTTTTTGACTGGCACTTCATTCTTTTTCAATTAAAAGATGAGAACCCCTAACTTTTTTTTCTAAAGACCAGCTTAATACGTCACTCGTGCTCTTGGCACCATTCTAGCTTCGTACGAATTCAGAACAAAGTCAAGCCTACCTATGCAATGTCTGCACTAAGCCAAATATTACACTGTTTCAATTGGTGATACAGCTATTTTGTTATGCTGTACTTGGCAATATTACGATTTAAGTCATAGCTGCTACAAATGTTCTTGGATGGAGATGAATTTTGGTTTGAGATTGAAATATGGTTTCATGTTTCAGTGAAGTGGAGGCAGAGATGAGCTTGAAACGAGCTGCCAAAGAAGCTTTGGGCTGTGATATCGATGACCTGGAAGCTGAGCTCTTCAGGGACGAGAGAGAAAGTGAAGACGGCTGTTCAGATCCTACTGATTTGCGTGAGGAGAACATGGAGATTGATGCTGTGGATGGTGGGGAGGAAGAAGTAAAAAAGGTGAAAACTAGAGCTAAAACAACGAAATCTGCTGTGGAAGATCAAGAAAGGTCTGTAGAAGAGATGCGAGCTGAAAAGTATGAGAACATTATCAAAGTTGTAGAAGAACCAGTGGCCACTGATGGCAGTGAATCAGCAGTGACTCTGGAACAGATCGGGGAGTCAACAGATGGTGATGTGAAAGACGGTGATGCTGCTGTGAAACCGGAAATGGAGAAGTTGGAGGGTGAGAAGTCAGCTGAAGAGGCTTCTCCGGAAAGTGATCCTGATGCTTTGGAAACAAAAGAGGAACAGACCGAGGACCAACAGAGAAAGGAGGAAGAGGAGACTGAAGTAAGTGAAGACAAATCAAATGTAAAGACATCTACCTCCTGTGCTGCAGAGGCTGAGAATTCCTTGGTGTCTGTAGAAGATGGGGAGGAGGCTGCTGGCAGCCATGTAGGACATTCAGAAAAAACACATGTACATATTGACAGCACAGAGTCTTTCAATTCTTTCCAATTCTGGCGCCCACCGTTCCCCCAAGTTGACCTGGATTTTGATTTGGTCGACGGAGCTCCAACCAACATTCACATTACTGCAAAGGTGCAGGACGACGATAAAAAGGTCTATGCAACAGAAATGAATGTGGCCGTGTCTGCAAGAGGCCTAGAGGATGTGTCCACGAGCATAGCTCAGATGCATGCAAGTGAGAAGGCAACACCCGTTGTTCAGACTACTGCTGTGGAGCAGGCTGGCGTGAAGATCCACACAGCTAGCGTGAGCACTGTTAGCGAGGCAGAGACAGTTAGCCATATCGGCAGCACCCACGTGATAGGGCAGCAGATCAATGAAGTGCCTATGGCCGTAGTGGATGGTGTTGTTCAAGGTAAGTGGCATGGAATGAGAAGCAATTTCTGTTTAGTCTTTGTAGGAGATAATGAAGGTTACAAAGGTAACGAACAAGAGTTTGAAACTCAAGGTTAAATACACAATAGCAAGATTTAAATAAGTACATGCTTAAATATCAGTTTGTGAAAAATATGTTTTCACGATATTTCTAATGAAGCCAGTGGTAAATCTACTTTACCAACCAATGAATGGACAACATAATGTTGGAAAGGTAAACCCGGGGATTCAGAAATAGAAAAGTAGATCAATACAGGAGATAGGGGCAAATACAGGAGATAGGGGCAAAGACAGGAGATGGGGACAAATACAGGAGATGGGGCAAATACAGGAGATGGGGCAAATACAGGAGATAGGGGCAAATACAGAAAATAGGAACAAATACAGAAGATAGGGACAAACACTGTTTCAGCTGCTATTATCTAGCACTTTGTGAAATAAGATGGATGAAAAAATTCTTGTTAGCATACTTAATTTAATAAATTCCAAACAGCTTTCCTTGATATAATAATTGACTTGTGTGATGAAAAACATGCCACGATTATTCACTTTTGGAACCAGACATAGGTCCTGTTTACTGGGGTCTTTGATCCGTGTGCTTTACTGATCCCCTGCCTTTTTTCAAAATGAAATAACTACAATTACCATTAATGAACATACATAACCTTTTCTTTAATTTATCTATGAGTTTGCAGTTCTGCATAAACTGTAGTAGGTCTGAAATGCTCAATTGAACTCCAACACTGAGTAATAGAAATTGACACCTTAAAAATGGCATAAACAAGGTCAATGGGACCTATTATGGTCTTCGCTGTGAACATTCAAAGAATCCTGGAATCAAGGCAATGAAACAGAAGCTTATTCAAACACTTTATATCTTTTGTACATGTAGCATTAATATAGTGACTGTTTCATAGCCACGCAGGTTGTGGAAGTGTTTTCTTGCCCTGGACAGTTCTTGCCAGTGTCCGTCTATTAATCTTGTGAAGTGCTGTATTGCAAGGACCGGTATCATACAGTTGGTGACTATAGGATAATTTAAGGAATTGGCACAGGAGGTACATTGTTCTAAGTGATATTGCATCTGGGTAGTAGTAGACATTCCACTAGCCAAGTGCTTGCATCCTGGTTACCTTTGATTTCCATGCTTGCATATGTATTCACAATAGTTTACATCTTCCCCAAACATTGCAGACTTGTGCCATTTCAGATTAGTCTGTTGCTCCGAATTTCTTCTGAACTTGAGACCTGTTTTTATTCAAAAGATGCAACTGCCAATTTCTGACTGCGGATTGAGAAATTACCATTATCTTCAAATAGACTTACTTCTTGCCAAAATCTGAAATGGCTGTCAAGATATGGACCAGTCATAGTAAGGATGGCTTTAAGATTGTTAGAGAAAGCAGAAATGTATGTTAATTTAGAGTTCTTAAAGTATATATCACATTTATTCCTTAACAAGCAGTATTGAAATTTTCCCAACATATCAAATTATTTATGTCCTTATGTACTACAATATGTACTTCACAAGTTTGACAAATGAAGTAGAGTTTTGATGGGTACAAAATGTGAGGTGCTGAACTTGTGTATTTGGTACTGTCTTGAATAAGCCTTGGAATTAGATAGATGCCTTGATGGATCCACCATGGTGATCTATGATGTACATTTCAGAGTCTGAACTAAGATTAGAATAGTTGTTTATGATTCTCTAGACATGATTCACAATTTAATTTGTATTTCCTGCTCTCCAACGCATTGTTTTATATGCAAAGATTACTGTGTGTATTTTCTCAAACTAAGCCGGAAATAGCAATCAGCTGTACACACGGTTTCTCCCAATCTACAGCTGATTCAGTTAAATAGTACCCAATGGTACAACTACAAAGAATTTTGATGCTATGGTCAATAGAAATTGTATCTGAAATTGTTTTGTCGGGAATAATATATTCCAACATCGTGTTATTTTAGTTGCAGCTTTTACCATGTTTACTTTATATGTTTAAAGTTATAAGAACCATTAGCTTAGCACTTTGTTACAGCTGATCGTGGCTGCAGGATATTTTTACGTATGGAACAATTTGATCAGTCACCGTAGGGACTTCCCTTGCTACATTTATTTTGATTGTGAAAATGTAATGTTGACATACGATAGTCAAATTGACTTTTTGAGGAGTCAAAGCTTGGCATTTGTTAAATGTATCCATTCTATGGCAACTAAGAAGTTTAATTCAATGGGTCAATAGTGGTAATCTGACTGTGGTTGTTGTAAATAACTGAGTTTTGCGATCCACCGATCACTTCACACATTTTCAATATAGGCTGCAATATCGAGGGAACACTACTGTACTTAAGATTTTTGTTCAGTATCGTGGCGTATTGATGTATATACCTTCGTATCATGGGTCAAGTATCTCGAGGCATCGGAATATCACCCTTAGTATCTCAATGCCTTGGATCACTGCTTATAATATCAATCACTATTGTCTGATCCAGAGTAAATAAATTAGTCTGCATGAAACGAAAAGGGTCATAACGTTCAATAGTTTACTTCAGAAACTTTTGTGATAATGTAGACATTGTTCATTGAATATGTAGCTGATGGAGCCATTATAACAATGAAATGTCAATTTGTTTTGACTACTTCAAGTGTGATCATCAGTAAATTTGTTTGGTTGCTCATTCTATGAACATTTAAACGATGTAATAAAACAAATATTGGAAAAATGTTAGTTTGATTTCATACATTAAATTAAGTTGGTTTTTTTAAAAACGCAAGGATTTCTTAATACAGGGTTCGAATTTAAATTCAGTTAATGTGGATGTCTATTGTATTGTCTGTATTTTTTTTGCATTGTTTTTCTCTGTATTTCAGATCTAAGTACCAGTAGTATAAGCTACATTGATAGCGAGTTATCCTTGTCTTCCCACGACAGTCTTCGTGAACAGTCACTCATAGATGACGCCACTCTAGCTCAACAACAGGTAAGCCCCAGATGTGTTTTGTGAAGTTTGGACCACAATTTGTTTTGCAGATGAATCCTGTTAAGTTTGGATCAGAGTTTATTGCCATTATCATTTGTTGTCGTGATGATTCAAACTGAAACTTAGGTATTTAGTCTGTAATCAATACTTTTCATTGTTAGGTTGTCATTAAGCTCGTTAAATTTCCACAATATATTCTTTAAATTACTTTCATCAGCAGCTGCTGTCTCTTTTAATAATTGCTAATGTTTCGCATTGATATGTATCATGATAGTTAAGCCAAAGGAAAATATGTACAGCCTTAGTGATGTGGCTAAATCGTCTGCCTGAAGGGTGAGGTTGATGTATTGATCTGCTGCGCACCAAGACATTAAATGTTGATACTTGAAGTCCTGCCTTGCGCAAGGCATTAACATGATTAAGGGGATAAAACAAGTTTTGATCGGGTCGAGACAGTATGCTGTGTTTGAGGGGGATATCCATGTTAAGTGATTGCGAAACCTTGTGGACCACTACTGAAAATGGGGGTGGTCGGGTAGCCTAGTGGTTAAAGCGTTCGCTCGTCACGCCAAAGACCCAGGTTCGATCCCTGAAATTGGTACAATATGTGGAGCCCATTTCTGGTGACCCCCGCAGTGATATTGCTAAAATCGGCGTAAAACCATACTCACTCACTACCGAAAATGGGACTTGCTAGCCAAAAGGCCATATAGACAATTGCCGTTGAATAACTCATATTGTGTCCCAAGGGACGTACAATAATATTCATTGTACCAAATTTTTCACAAGAAATAGAGTTCCTGTCATTCAAGTAATTATTGAATCTCACAGAACAGTTCACTACACCATTTCATTACGGGACCCTAATTTCCTGTAGGGACCCTTGAAATTAGTAATTTGGGGCAAAAGCTGATTGGCACAACATAATTTGGGAAAATTATGGCCATGGACAAAGTGACCACCTGTAATAATACCTGTTAGATCGAATCCTGTAGCAGCTACCAGATGCCCCACCCCTTTTATATATATTTTTATGACAGTTACTATGTCACAGGCTCATTTCTTTTCGTTTTTCTGTTTCAGGACATTGTGCCGCAGTCTCTCCTAGAGAACTACCTGGGCATGGTTGACCCTTCCCGTGCCCAGACTGTGGACACCGAGATCACTCGGCACTGTGCCTACAATCTCCCTGCCGTGGCCTACACACTCGGCAGACAAAATTGGCACTGCATTAAAAACCTGTATGAAACTTTGGCCCAAGATATGCAGGTAAATGAGGTAAACTCCCTATTTACTATATTTCTAAGTATCTGCACTCTTCCTGGTTGTGTGTTGTCCGTGGTCTGGCTGGTTGGTCACCTGATCGATGGCTGATGCATGCTCTGTTAGCTCCCTGTCTTGCACTGTATGTATTCTGTGGCAATTGCTTCAATTTCAATGTCATCTTAACATCTGTTGTCTAGATTCAGATTGTTGACCAAACATAGTTTATCATGAAAGTGGTCTATTACCCTATGCAATTTTCATTTGACATTCATGAATCCGTTTTCATAGCTCTGTGGTTTCCCCACAACAAATAAGTGAACCCATCCATTGCTATGCTGTAATCATGATTGGATTGGTCATACATGCCAAGTTTACACTTTCTCAAAACTATTTTATACTTATGAATATTTTATCAAAATTGATTTGGTTGGTTAAATATTGTCTGAGGACAACTGAAGGAGATATATTTGTCTGTCGCGTTACGAGTCGGGCATGATTTTCCAAACCCAAGATTCACATTGTTTGCAGATCATGTTTTTAATTTCTGGTTCAACCTCAAATTCACCTTCAAATTTTATTGATGAATTTCTATTTTTGTCCAGATGTTTTAATGAAGTTTTATAAGTATGTATAGGTCAAACCAAAATTTGGTGGACATTAAGAAATGCTCATAATATAGTTGAATATTACTGTCTGTTTCAGTGGAAAGTTCGAAGGACTTTGGCTTTCTCGCTTCATGAAATGGCTATGATCCTTGGTGAAGAGATCACCCACAAGGATTTGGTGCCGGTGTTTGATGGCTTCTTGAAAGATTTAGACGAAGTTAGGATAGGTGTTCTTAAGCACCTAGCTGATTTTCTGAGGGTATGTAGACCAGTTTTCCAAAGATGATCTGACATTTATTTTATAAATACTACTCCATACAAGACTGCCAATTCTAGGTTAATATTGTTACAGGGAAAGTTTTGATTATTTAGAATGATTATATAATGGAGATTTTAATGGTCTGCGACTTAAACCACTAGTCTGAAGCCCAGGTCACAATTAAATTGTGTGCTTAGTAAGCGCAGCAAATAGACCATGTAATTGCACTGAAAATGTTGTTAAGCCAGGTTCTGGCGAGTAGACTTAATAGGTTTTGGCACTGACTAATAGCACAACTTGTAAATAGTACCTTATTCTTACCAGTCGAGGTTAAGCAATGTTGAAATCTTAATTGTATCCATCTTGTTCGAATTCTTTTATTAACCATTGACATTTTTGTTCAGATGCTACGGCCTGATGTTCGAAGGCGCTACCTGAAAAAGGTGCAGGACTTCATGTCTACAGATAACCATAGAAACTGGCGCTTCAGGCTGGAGCTAGCTGTGTGAGTAGATTGATCTTTGCTGATCTTTTTTTTAGCTTTCCATTAGCCATGACCCTCACTCCTACTGGGATCGAATAGTATACCATGGTGGCCAGTGTCTTATGCTTGTTACGAGAGGAAACTTGTTAAGGTCAAGCAGCAAATAATTTACCAGGACTAAGGGTTCATAGACACAGATAAAAAGTGTTGTATCTGTCCAGTCGAGCCACTCAATCTACTAATAATATCGAAAGTTGCAGTAGTTGACATAGAAACTAAGAGATAAGATTATCAACTGTTTCGTTATCACATGTCTGATGTACTGTAGATATTCAATGCTGCCAACAAAGGCGATGACGACCATATAAGAGTCCATGTGCTATCATTGAGTTGTTGCAAGTGTGATTGTGTTTCCAGCCAGCTGGTTCTCCTGTGTGAGCTGTACAGCCCTCAAGACATCCGCCAGTATATCGTCCCCATGTCCCTTGCCTTAGCTTCCGACAAGGTCTCCGAGGTCAGACACATGGCCTACAGGCTGGTAAGTTAACTTTCATTTATGTTTGAACCTAGCGTGCACAAGGGATTAGCTGGAATTTATAGGGTTGTCTTCAATGCTGATGACAAAGAAACAGGACTGTTATTGATGAATAATAATTCTGCTTTATTTTTTTGTACTTGTTAAATATGTGATCATGTCCGACATCGTGTAGTGAACCTTACTGACCGATGAATGTCCAGATAGAAATGTCACTTTATTAATGCGAGCAAGGAACGCTCACATTTGTTTTGCATTAATTTATTGACTTGACAGTGATTTCTGTTAAAATGTGGAACTAAATTGTATTGTATGGTCACTGATTTGTTGATTGTCATCCCCAAGGGCGGGGCATTAGACAGGATTTTTCAGGCTAGGTAATTGATATTGATGGGGAAATGTGAAGGAATAGTGTAGAGTGTGGTGTTAAACTTCCAGCAAATTGTATGAGCATTCCCATAAGACATCTGAACGTTGGTTGTATATGTTCCAGTAGAGAAAGTTTCTTGTCCAAATTACCAAGTTTTAACCTCAAGTGATTGGCGTAAAACTTTCCTGTGATACCTTCCTGGCCTGTTATGTACTTTCAATGTTTCTTACAGCTGAGCATAATTCTACATAGGATGTTTGAGGAAAATGAAGAGAACCTTCTGAGGGCACTGGTGTGTGAAGTTATTGACAAATTTGCCTTGAGTGCCCGCTGGATCGGGAGACAAATGTAAGTCAAGTCACTAGGTCCTGCCTTGAATTTTCTTTTCCACAGATTGTTTACTCCTAAAAGTCATTGAGGGAAACATTTATTGTGAAGAGTTCATTGCATTTGTGAATAAGGTTGTTTATCCAGATCGTTAACAGTAAATGATCATCTCACTGTAGATATGCATGCACAGCCTTGAACTGTAAAATGCCTCATTGCTATGTAGCAACATTAAATTAATTGCTCAGTTTTCCATCCCATGAGGATTCCCGGTTTTAAAAAAAAGGTTCCCCATCTACCTTTGCTGGTCGTAAGAGGCATCTTAATATCATTGAGGTGGCACGGGTGGCCCAGCCACCTAAGGCACCGCGATTCGCTGTGCAGAGTTGCGTACCTTTGGCACGCCGGAAACCTATGATTGTGGGTTCGAATTCAGGTTCGCCCCGATTATGTTTCTAGGTTAGTCAGAACCATACCCGTTCTCGTGGTAAACGTCTAAGACCTGCATCACTTCAGGCTTTCCTCCCACATTAAGCTGACACGCCGTGATGTGACTGTTGTGCTAAAAGCGGCGTTAAACCCAACTCACTCACTCACTCACTCAATATCATTGAACCCGACCGCATGGATCTGTCATCCGCCATGTAGCTGGGATATTGAGAGATTGGAGGTAAACAATAAAGCTCATTGTTTACCTTTGTTATGCAGATTTGCCCAAATCTGCCATGTGATCCTGGAAGAGAATTCACTACCTCCTGCGATGTTTGCTGAGGAACTTCTTCCAAGCCTTTTAAATCTGGGAGTAGATGCAATACCCAATGTACGCCTGTCTATGGCTAAAGTCCTAGCACAATGCATTGTGCCTTTAGGTAAGGAAGAGTGGTTTGCAACCAGTTTCTATTTATAAAGTGACAAGTCCAGAGTTTCATGGTCAACAGTTTTTTATCATATTGTTTAGAAATTCTTATGTTTCATCTCAGATTGACTAATCAGGATCTAGGATCCTGGCTGTAGTTTTCAAATTTTCTTGTTTTAAGTCATTTAAGATTTAACAGATACATATATACGCACATCCTTTTTTGGAAGACCGTGGGAGGGTGCAGATTAATTAGGTCCCCATATACTTGTCCTAAGAGGTGTGGTCAGACCGACTTGAGTGTCATATTGTACCTTGAAGACTTATTTATTAGTGAATATTGCTGTTTCTATTTTTATCAGGCCATTGTCTTTGTTTGCAGAATATTTCACGTCGCAACGGAACCCTCAACATGAAGAGCTGATAGCTACCTTGCAGAAGCTGCAGGCAGACACAGACCGGGATGTTCGCTTCTTCGTCTCGCAGCATCCCGAGACAACTCTCTCGTCCCCGCATGACACAGTGAGTGACACTGACAGTCAGAAATGCTTTAGCATTGCCACGCCAGGAAATGCATATGAAGTAGATCTTGAACAAGTTAGGTTAGTGAATGTGAGGACGTGTTTGAGAAGATGGTCTTAACCATGCTTCAGAATTTTGACTTGTCTGTAATCTATGGCCGAATAGGTCCCTGGTACTCCATGCCCTTTTCAAAGAGCTGACTTAAGTGAGCATCAGGTGGATCTGGGTGTGGTCTGATAATCATTGTACCCAAAGACTGCCTCCGTGGTCTAGTGGTAGAGAGGCCGCTCAGAGCGGAAGGTCCGGGGTTTGATCCCTGGCTGCTCCATACCAAAAGACGTTAAAGGATGGTACTTGTTGTTTCCCTGCCTGGCATGCCTTTAAGGCTGAAACAAGCACTGGTCTGCTCGGAGTCAGTATACTGTGTCTGAGTGGGGTATACTGTGGCATGGTATCTCAGTGAGCTAGCAATGTAAATTGGCATCAGTCTGGCCTAGTACATGCAGCCACATATGTGTATGCATGTTGCTAAATAAGTGCAATAATCTTGGACGCGACGTTAAACCCAATTTCACCATCATTGTACACAAACGTTGTGGATATTTGCTTGTACTATCATCCACTCTCTTGTCTTACCCAGGCTCAGTTATTACATGTTGCCAGATATGGCTGGCTGAGAAGAAAATACTGGTTTTACATTTAAGCACCATCATATGAACATGAAACTTTTTACAGCAGTTGCTGTCCTATTTATGAATGAAGTGGGGTGGGTAAACTTGCAGTTAAAGCGTTGGCTCTGTAGATGGTTTAGCTGGTTTATGGTGTCGCTCTTCTCTTTCTCTCCTCTCTCTGCCCGATTTGTATGGCTGGAATATTGTTGAAAGTTGCATGAAACCAGCAGCCTCATGCCTTCCAAATGTTTTTTAAAAAACCAACATTTCTCTTTCAGGTGCCTGTTTAACCTGCTGTGATCGCGTCACCATGGTGCTCAAACACTCAATGGGGTAACTACGTCTCAGGTGGACAACAAATGGCGGGGAACTTGACACTCAAGGGAGGCAACTGTGAAACAGACCTCTCCACACTGTACAAATGTAAATTTACATCCAACTGGCTGTGATGATGAAGTATTTACATGATGATGCACAGGATATGTTACAGCGCTGCACATATCTTGTGGCTAGCTGCACAATATAGCGATTCCAATGAATATCTGTTGTCACCTATGAGTGAATTTAGCCTTGTTGGCTTCCCTCTAGTATGTATGTCCTGTAATCCCTACACATTACCCTTCCACTTAAGATGTTCTATACTCTGTTTACTATCTTCACAATTAACTGAAAGTAGTTCATGAATGAAATATTTTACAGCAATTTCAAAATCTGTGTATTGCACTGAGAAGATTGTTTGATTTGAAAGTTGCTTAGGCATAATCCTTGTATCAACGGTTTATTGCACTGATGTATTCTTTATGTGAATGTTTTGTCAAGAGCTGTAGGTGGTTTTCAAATTGAGTGTATCTGAGTCTAGGAATGCTTGTCCACAGCTAAAAGTGTGTTTTGAAGGAATAAAACGAATTCAATATAAGTCAAGTTGGACAATCACCTTGTATTCTTGTGAATATCTGTTACCAAAGCGACACTACAGTCTTTCTTAGCTTTGTAGTTGTATCAATAATATATTGACAATGTTAATGTTTTACTTGATCTGAAGATTACAGTATTTTGCCAGTGATATTATTGACAAGTTTTTGCTTCAAGTTTCCAAGTGATTCACTTCACTGTAGATGATATGAGTGACGAGTTTTGACAATGTAGCGAGTGACTAGGATGTAGTCTTTAGTTTGCAATCATTGAAGTCCCATCTAGAAGTAAGACTAACAGTATCTCAGGTTTCACATAGCTGCTGAAATGTCTCTGGAGTTATCTGCATTTCCGTTCATCCTTCATTCCTTGGGCCGAGTAGTTGCTATTGTCTTGTCGAGCAAAGAATAAAAGCATCCGGAAAGTCTGCTTGAATGACATTGATGTTGAATGGCATCTTGTATGGTGAATGAGTTGTGCATATCATTGAAAACGGTTCCAAATTGTCTCGACATGTTTGAGGTTGACTTGGGACACTTGGGAAGTTGTTGATGGTATGTTAGCAGTACTGAGGCAGCTTTCCTTGCCATTTATCCAGTTACATTTCATCAATATGATCTACAAGATTTCAAGATGTAAACCACATTATTTCAATCTAATGTACCTCTATTTGTTATTTGTTAACCAGACCACAATTGTCAATATCTCAGCTCTGCATACATTGGTACATAAGTAGCACGACAGTACGACCATTAGCTTTTTACTCACCCGAAATTTCCTGTCTATTTGCTATAATTTTCCACAGGGAAAACTGCTTATTGTTATGTTAATCTGAAGGTGTAGATACATATGAAATAGGCTTTGTAAAACCAATTACAAATGAAGCTTTTTACATCAGACCCTCAAGGAAAATATAACCTCCTGAACTAAACAGACATCTTGCGAAGAAAATTTGAAGTGTATGTCTCGAAAACAGACCATCTCGTATTTCTTTAACTCCAAAGAATGTAAGGTCCGTGCATAAAATACATCCATTATGGATTCCTCGTTTCTTTAAGCTGTTGCTCACTTTCAGTACTGAACTTGTATCTTTAAGTGGCCTATCAGATGCCGTAGTATCTGCTGACAGTTGATTTGAGGATTTCAACTTCTTTCAATGCAAGTTGCTCTTACTTTATAAAGATTCTGGTTTGTGTACCAAAAAGTCATTGAAAAGAAGTTGAAATCCATCTCGTCTGTCGTTATACCTTTAGAATTTTCAGTAAGTGCCTTAACTAAAGGTGCCATCAGTATGAATCAACAGGCAAAAATACGGAGATATTTTAGGGCATGATATTGTGTGAACTTGCTCCTCTGATTTGTGTTGACTCTCCCTCCATGAACATAATAGAAGTCAACTGTTCATTATTAACTGCATACTGTGTGAGACTCGGTGCAGAGCATTAGCTACACCTTTTATATATCCTGTAATGCATTGGAAATTAATGTGTTCTAGCACATGACTGATTAATAATGTTCATGGAATGTAGGCCACTTGTTCTGCTCTTTGATATGGAGACCAAATCACATTTTATATACTAAATAATATCTTTGGTGCATGTATTAGTCACTTTACAGTTCTAGTTCATTAAGTCTTCTGTGCAAGATCTTGTCCAAACCATGCCAAAGTGAAGATCTCATTACGGCTGATTTTTAACTGATAGTTAGTGTTACATAGTTTCCATAACTTGGAGTGACCATACATGTTAATTTCCAATGCTGCAGTCTCAAGCACAACTTGCCTCTGAAACATACTTAGCATAGAAGCTTTTGGAGTAGCTACAGCCCCAGGCCCCTCTTGTGTCGTGTTGAATGTGGTGTGTGTGTTCGCGTGTCTGTGCACTGCTACACAGAAAGCGTCTTTCAACAAAGTCTTTCAAGTTGCTGCTGAATGCATGGGCAGTTGGGCTGAGCATTGTGCAAATGTCAAACGAAATATTCCAGATGGGCGACATGTTTTTAGCAGAATATTGTAATTTACTCTACCAAGTTTTGTATTTTAGATGTTGTACATTCAGATAATGCCAAATGGTCAAAAAAGGGATTTATTTATTATATTTGTTTCATATGAGCAAAAAAAGGTAAAATAAAATTTTACTTTCACTAATCCATTCTATTGTCTTTATTAGTATACCGACATGGGTACAATGTGTGGAGCCCATTTCTGGTGTACCCTGCCGTGATATTACTGGAACATTGCTAAAAGTGGTGTAAAACCATACTCACTATTAGTGTAGATGGCACAGGTGGCCCATTATAAGGCCCTGCAGTTTGCAGTGCAGAGTTGTGTCCCTTGAGCACACCAGCATCCCATGATTGTGTGTTCAAATCCCAGTTTGCCCCAGTTGTTTCCAGGTTTGTCAGCATCATGCCTGTGCTCGTGGGTTTCACAGTAGTGGTAAGTGTTGGAGACTGTCATTTTGGGCTTTCTTACCACATTAAGCTGACACACTGTGATATACTGGAATACTGTTCAAAGCAGCGTTGGGTTTACATCACTGATCATGAACAGTTTCTTGCTGTCATGCTGCAGTTGGACACCTTGCATGCCATTGATTGGAGTTTGTTTTGTGCAGAGAGGGAGAAACATTTCAGTGTAGACCTGCAAGGGACAACAATATTTTATAGATGAATGATATTCTTTGAGTTTTATCCAGTAACTGCTAAGTGCACGTCATCATTCCCCTTTGTGGCAGACCGCCTCTGTGGTGTAGTGGATAGAGCCTCTTAAATGAGTGAAAGGTCGGTAGTTCAATCCCCAGTTGTCTTTGTACCAAGATATGAAACTTGTTACCTTGATGCTCGACATGAAGGGGATAATGCAAAGACTTGTCTTGCCATGAACAGTAATTTGATAGTTGGAAAATTAAAAACTTTGGTAAATCATATAGACTTGATCAGCTCAAATGTGAAATGTGTATCATTACTTCAGATTGACTTATACTGAAGAATTAGCTGACTTGGATGATGCATGTCATCGTATCTCAATTGCGTGGATTGATGCTCATGATGTCAATCACTGGATTGTCTGGTCGAGACCCGATTTTTACAGACCACCGTCATATAGCTGGAATATTGCTGTGGGCGGCGTTAAATAAACATACAAAAGTGAAGAATTACAGCAACAATAACTTGTTTGTTTCATTTTTAGCCCCTATCAAACAGGTGTATACTTTTTTTCCAGCAGTTTAGGTCAATATAGGTAAACATTCCTTGTACTCTTCCTTAAAAAACCTGTTCACATCTTTTGCTAATTGCCTGCCTGATAATTGGTTGGAAATCACTTTAGAAAACCTGTTATAAATGTTATTTCGACCACTGAGGTGACATCTTTAGAGAGAAAACCTGAACACAAGTGATTAGAGCCAAAACCATGTCATGAATCCCTTAATAGACAACCATAGCTTCATTGGGATAGACGTGATATTTTACCCAACATCTCCCATAATCTCTCAGAAGCACTCCTAAAATCCCCCATCACAACTGATACAAAATATCAAAAATCGGGTGACAGTTCAGTGAGTATAGCATTTGTTTGTTTTGTTTGTTGTTTAATGCCACACTCGGCAATATTCCAGCTATATGACAGAGGTCTGTAAATAATCGAGTCTGAACCAGACAATCCAGTAATTGACATCAAGAGCATTGATCCACGCAATTGGGATACGATGACATGCATCAACCAAGTCAGCAAGCCTGACCACTCGATCCCATTAGTCGCGTTTTACAACAAGCATTGTCATCTAGCCACTGACGCAATGACAGTGGTCCATGTGTGTCATCAAGCCAGTGACAGTGGTCCATGTGTGTCATCTAGCTTCTGACAATGCCAACGGTCCATGTGTCATCTAGCCTCTGGCAAAGTCAACGGTCCATGTGTGTCATCTCATCTTCCTGAGGCAAGGGAGTTAACAGACAATAAAAGTCCAGTTTCCACCCATGCTGAACTAAACTGGAATTATGGAGTTGTATTTTGGCTGAACTAATGAGTCCATGCATAGTCAAAACAAAATCCCATAAAATTTCTTAAACTTTGTGTCAACACATATTTTCCAAATCTTTTCATGCTTTTAATGAGATGCTCAAGTGATATGTGCACTAGGAAAAAACCTGTTTTATTACAATAAAGATCTTTATTATCCATGAGATCATCTTGACTGGGCGTCGCCATTTTGTGTGAAGCAAGTGATACGAGAGGTGGAATCTGATTGGTCAGTAGGGGGGACATAGATGGGACATAACTCATAAAAAGCCACCCGTGGTGCTACAATCGAGCCCAGAAATTCCAGCCTAGTTTGGCAAGGGTTAAAACTGGACTTTAACAGTCAGTTAACACCCTTGCCTCAGGAAGATGGTCTCATCTGGCCATTGACCTAATGACAGATAGGTCCATCTGTGTGTCATATCTAGCCACTGACACAATGACAGATCGGTCATATCCAGTGAATTGCAGTGCCTTTGATGACTGGGCCAAGAGTTGCCCCATTAAAAACACAAGCACAGGTATGGTGCTGACTAACCTAGTCATGATCGGAGAAAATCTGAGATTTGAACCCATGATCAAAGGTTTCTGGCACGCCTCATGATTGCAATTCTGAATAGCAAATTTTCTCCCTCCACACATGAAGAAACAAAAAACAAAGGTTGTTTGTAAACTCACATGTTTATTCATCAAATGTAACATAAATATACAGTACAGAGGACTTTGAGTAGTTCAGTGCACGAGGGAGGGAGCAAGGAAGATGTTGCACAACAATGTCAGCTGAATGCCATGTTAGAAGTGACATTTACCAGCTCCTGTAGAAAAGAACCACTTGGCCTTATATGTTTATAGTTGGTTAATGAGACCGAACAACAAAAACCAAGAAATTTAAATAAAATAAAAAAAATAAATCATTTTTGACCATGTTTTAGCAGATTCTGTCTAACAATTAGGTGAAATGAAGAAAAGCAAGAAATTTTATCACATCTGTTAAGCAATGATGAATAATATGTATAAAAATCTACATTCTCTAAAAAAAAACAATTATCTTTTGGTATTGTTTTGCAATCATACTTTCATGATGGTGTGGCCTTAAAGTTGGAGTTTCATTCATTAGTTTCAGTACTATTTTTAAGGTTGTAAATAATAAAAAAAAATTTTTTTCCAATAACTTCATTGTATTTCAGGCCATTTTTTGTAAACCATCTAAAAACTATAAGGCCCTTTGATGCCATTTCCAAACAAATTCATTTTCTCAAAGTGACTAGGGCTGAAAAAAATAAACCATTTGTTCTCAGGTAGTTACTTTTTTAAACTGGTGGGAGTGAAGTAACAAATGATTTTAGAACAAAATGTGTGTTAACTCTCTGAGAACATTCATACTTGTGAACATAGCGAATAGGTGGTTGTCAGTGCGGTTTAATTACCGGGTATGTGCACTGTGTCTGAGAACTAAGATGATTTTTCAGCCTCGGAGACAAGATTTTGCGGATTTCATAAGTCCTCTGCTTTGGGTCTTGTATTATCAGAACTAAGTCTCATTTAAAATGAACATCTTTTGAGTATACAGTTTATTATTTCATTGTGTAAAGCAATATATTTATTGAAATTGGTTTACAGAAAGTGGAAAAATAAACTATGTGAAAAGCACTATTTTACTTTGCCAATGGCAAATTTACAAAGGAAACAAAACTCACAGGGTAATTGTGCGTACACTATGTTAAATTGAAACTTGATGAGACAGGAGGCGTGACAAGTGCTGTAACATATTCAGATAACTTTTGAAAAAAAAATGCTGAAAAGTCTTTAATCACGATCTCATCTGGATCCGTGGAGGCTGTGGGATGAGGACACAAGTGATGGATCATATGGTCGACAAACTTGAAGAGTGACACTAATGGTGTTTAATCCCATGTATGGAATGGATGTTTGTCTAAAACACAAAATACTATCTTCCAAACAACAAAATACAATCTTTAATGAGCGTTTGTAAGATCGGAAGTTCACAGAGTTTAACCTTTTAAATTCTTCACACTTCAATTAACACATCCAAACTCATGTTCAATTCTTAAATGAATTGAGCACCCTTAGCACAAAAAAATCACCTTCCACATACATGGATTTGGGGATACTCTTTTAAGCATATTACACATTTGCCATTTGGTAGACCAAGTGTTATCTATAAAAACATAAAAAAATGTCAAATTCCTGTCCATTCTGCTCCCAAGGATTGCTTTATTACGATTTTTTTGTGTATGCAAAATAACTTTATTTTTTAAATGTTCAATGTTTGATCTCAAAATGAATATTTGTTGGGGGAACAATATATGTCAAGTTATGGGTATGGAAAAATGCATGTCCAGTTTCAAAATATAATCCAAAATTACCGGTATCACTAATGTTGATTTTAAGGATTTTCTTTAATATGTCATATATTGATTGGATGCATTATTATATGGTGCACTATTTTCGGGTTGTAAAATTATTTATGTAACTGTATCTTTATATTTTACACAAGATCATATTTAACAGTAACAGGACTGAATCCTTGACAGCTTACATGCTCAAAGTTGACATGATTTCATTTAAGCTCTCAGCCATTAAGGTTGCATTTTGTTGTTTTTGTAAACATAATTGAACTATGTTTTGGTCTGAATGATAAAATTCCAGTTTGAAAATATCTCAGTTTGTTATTTTTGGTGTGGTGAAACTTTGACTTTTTGACAATGACCCATAAATAAGACCACTACCAAATGCAAATTGTTCACCCCCATGCCCAGGACATATAACTGTATCTGTTAGGAACGATGAATGAAGGTCAGAAAAGTAACTACATCATAATCATTGCCATTAAATTGATTGGTCACAATGACTACGAAGTGGATTGATTGGTTAACTGGCTACTGAGTGGATTGATTGGTCACAATGGCTACTGAGTGGATTGATTGGTCACAATGGCTACTGAGTGGATTGATTGGTGAAACTGGCTACTGTGTGGATTGATTGGTCACAATGGCTACTGAGTGGATTGACTGGTCACACTGGCCACTGAGTGGATTGATTGGTGAAACTGGCTACTGTGTGGATTGATTTTTCACAATGGCTACTGAGTGGATTGATAGGTCACAATGGCTACTGAGTGGATTGATTCGTCACAATAGCTACTGAGTGGATTGAATGGTTAAACTGGCTACTGAGTGGACTGATTCGTCACAATAGCTACTGAGTGGATTGAATGGTTAAACTGGCTACTGAGTGGACTGATTGGTCACACTGGCTACTGAGTGGACTGATTGGTCACACTGGCTACTGAGTGGATAGATTTGTCACACTGGCTACTGAGTGGATTGATTGGTCGCAATGTCTTCAGAATGGATTGATTGGTTACACTGGCTACTGAGTGGATTGATTGGTCACAATGTCTACTGTGTGGATTGATCGGTCACAATGTCTACTGAGTGGACTGATTGGTCACACTGGATACTGTGTTGATTGAATGGTCACACTGGATACCGAGTGGATTGATTGGTGAAACTGGCTACTGTGTGGATTGATTGGTCACAATGGCTACTGAGCATAAAACAGCCTTCATTCACTCAGAATATATAAAACAAAAACATATTTTTTTTCAATACAAAGTCAAAAGAATTAATAAAGGGTGATGTTAAAATCCATATTAGACTCATGAACATGTAGAATTGTGAGAATATGTGGCAAATACTAAACTAAACCCCCTTCATAAAATGGACTTGTCCGACATTGCAAAGGTTGGTTTCTATTCAGGGAGTCATCATTATTTAAATATGGGAAAATATTAATCAAACTTGTACAATTTATCAACATCCTTAGGGAGGTTGTACATAATGTTGATATCTCATAAAAGAAAAAAACATAAATAAAAAAGTCAGATGATTTTAAGTGGTACAGAAAAATACAAGTTTTTCAAATAACAAAGGCCCTGAACCTTAATTTTTGTAAAAAACATTTTATTCTGCCATGAAAACACAGGAATATCAACATTCAGTACCCTACACTGTCTTCAGTCTGCAGTAGAACACACAGTTCATTACAGGGTGTTTGACCTTCTAATGATTAATTTAATTTCTTGTCTTACAAATCTTGTCATTTTTCAGCCATTTTCACTCAAAAATGAATAATTGTGTCTTGTAACCCTTATTTCCAAATTTACAGTCACCTAGACTGCCTCTCTCTAAGCAAAAGAATAGCATTTTCCTCATCTAAAAAATAACCCCCAAAGCAATGTGTGTATTATATACAAGAAAATACTATCTTGCAGTAATAGATAGATTGTTTTCCCCTCTTGACTTCAGGTATTTAGGACAAAAAAGTTTGCAAAGCAAATAATCTGGACCAATGATGTTCAAAAAGCAAAAATACTTCTGTGAAAAACTGCTTTAGGGGAAAATTGTCTCAAAATTAATGTTCTTGGGGATATGACTTGTTAATATGTTACATGCTGCACAAGAGCATATTGAAGAGGTAGTTGTAAGAAAATAATATCTTTGTGTATTAAAAAATCTATAGGCACAAACACTCATTCTACACTGTGAAAACTTGACCAACATAATCTCAGTACCTAGACCAAGAACATCTAGCACTTACAGTGGACTGAATATCCTGATTCATCCTTCCAAATTTGGCAGAGCCCAGGTTCTGCATCCTCAACACTGTTAATCATAGTGAGTGAGTGAGTTGGGTTTAACGCTGCTTTTAACAGTATTCCAGTTATATCGTGGGAGGAAAGACCGAAGTGATGCAGGTCTCAGACGTTTACCACTTCGGTGAAACCCACGAGCACGGGTATGGTGCTGACAAACCTAGAAACATAATCGGGGCGAACAGGGATTTGAACCCACAATCATAGGTTTCTGGTGTGCCCAAGGGACGCAACTCTGCAAAGCAAATTGCAGCGCCTTAGACGACTGGGCCACCACTGCCCCCCTGTTAATCATAAGACCTGGTATGTTTGTATAACTTCTCTGTCATGAACTTTTCTATAATTCCTGAGACACAAAAGATGGAAATGGTCCATTAGTTTGTCCTGGATGCCACATCACACCTGAATGATGGCACCGTTGTTTGTAGGGTCTCCGTAGCAAGCCTCTTCCTCCCCGGAATCCGATGATTCAGATTCAACAGAAGTCAAACTGAACGTGATGATGTCATTCTGTCTCGGAAGACCAAGGATTATGGAGTCACCGAAAGGGGAGATCTCGATACACGTCGGTTTATCGTCTAAAGTCAGACAGGCCACCATGCTACCTGCAAGAAAATGTTTGTCAGTTCGGTAATGCTTCTTAATTTTTGTGTGTTTAACTGAGACAATTTAAAAAATGTTTCAATCATCGGACCCTTGAAAAGTGGACAAAAATAATCTGGAAAACATAAATTGTTATTATTATGCTGAATGCACACATGGCAACAATTCTTATTATAATTTGAATAATCCAGTTTTAGTTTTATGTGTTCAGGTAAAATGTAGTGTTTGTTTGTTGTTCAACACACTCAGCACTATTCCAGCTATGATGGTAGTCTGTAAATAATCAAGTCTAGACCAGACAATCCAGTGATTGGCATCATGAGCATCAATCTACGCAATTGGGATATGATGACATGCATCAACCAAGTCAGCAAGCTTAACCACCCGATCCTGTTAATTTCCTCTTACGCCAAGCATGGGTTGCTGAAGACCTATTCTACCCCAGATCTTCACGGGTCTCAAAATTGTAGTCCGTCCGGAGAGCGGAAGGTCCAGGGTTTGATTCCCGGCTGCGTCATACCAAAAGACGTTAAAAGATGGAACTTGTTGTTACCCTGTCTGGCGCTCGGCATTGAGGGGCTTAAACAAGGACTGGTCGGTTCGGAGTCAGTATACTGTCTGAGTGGGGTATTCATGTTAAACTGCGGCATGGTATCTCAGTGAGCTAGCACTATAAATCAGCATCAGTCCGGCCTAGTACATTCAGCAACACGCACTTGCACGCACGTCTATCTTGGACGCGACGTTAAACCCCATTTCACCTCACCTCACCTCACCTCAAAATTGTAGCGCACCATGTCTGTCCACCCACCTATTTCCAGATCCCATATGCAGAGTGTTCTGGCATGAGGCAGAATGCTCTCCCCTTTGTACCATGTGAGACATAGGTGGCACTGAGACGCCAAGACGATTTGGTTACAGACTGCATTCACGCCCTTCATGTGGAACCTGCAATAGAATATTAAATGTGTATTTTTATAAAGCATCAAATCAAGCCTTTTGAAGAATCCCCAAAGCTACTATATTGCCACGATCAATGGATCAGTGTGCACGCAAATTTTATTCTCAGCTCCTTGTGGAGTATACAACGCATGCTGTCTTATGAAGTGCTGGAATGTTTAAAGTCACATTACATCCCATCCTACTTGGTACCCATTCACTGCTGAGTGAACAGTGAAATATTTTGAACGAAGTAACTTTCCTCAGCAGACACCACATGTAACGTGTGTCTGTATATTGCAGGACCGAAGCCCTGGAAACTCTCACAAGTCAAACTTGACTAGCATGCTCACCCATTAAATTATTCCCCCCTTATCGACCAAAGTTGCTTAACTCTACAAGACATGTGACCTGTACACAAGGCAACTTGCAAGCATACAGAAGACTTGTCAACAAAATTAGAGTGAGTGAGTGAGTGAGTATGGATTGACGCCGCTTTTAGCAATATTCCAGCAATATCATGACGGGGGACACCAGAAATGGGCTTCACACATTGTACCCATGGCGGGAATCGAACCTGGGTCTTCGGAGTGACGAGCGAACGCTTTAACCACTAGGCTACCCGACCGCCCCTGTCAACAAAATTAGAAGCAATGCCACCATGTGATCCTTTTATCAATACCACAAAGAGCAAAGTGCACGTGGCAAGCAAACCGGAAAAAAACATGACTTTTTCAATATTGAGACTTTTGTTAAAGGACATCTCATTAACTACAGGGGTGTGTAATAGATGGCCAGTCCTAAAAGTTCATATTTTAACACTACATTCAAAGCAGTTGGTTTAAAACCCCCAAAACATCTGAGAATCTATATTGTGTGGTTGAGAGCCAACTGACCTTACGCTCCCTGACTCCAGGTCCCACACCAATACATCCCCTGTGTCCAGCATGCTGACCACAGACTTGGTTGCCGTGACAACCGCCAGACTTGTACAGCTGTGTTTCCACTTCCAGATCTTGAAGACTTGACCACTGAGCAGATCGTACACTACCAGGAAGTTTGGCGCCTCCGATTCCAACTCCTGAAACAACAGATAATTGTGTTGGCGTCAGATCATCTACAAGGATAACGACGGTAACAATATCTCTACGCTGCACCCTAAAAAACCCAAAATGTTTGACTTGTTGTTACACAGAGCTGTGGACTTTTACATAGTGTTTTCCTAATAGATCCTGGCCCAGTCGTCTAAGGCGCCGCGATTCGCTGTGCAGAGTTGCGTCCCTTGGGCACGCCAGAAACCTATGATTGTGGGTTCGAATCCCGGTTCGCCCCGATAATGTTTCTAGGTTTGTCAGCACCATACCCGTGCTCGTGGGTTTCACCGAAGTGTTAAACGTCTGAGACCTGCATCACTTCGGGCTTTACTCCCACATTAAGCTGACACGCCACGATATAACTGTAATAATGTTAAAAGCGGCGTTAAACCCAACTCACTCACTCACCTAATAGATCCCTGATTTGGAGCAACCTCACTCACAAACCTGCAATAATGTACATGAAATGTAAAAAAATGCAACACAATTTGCTTCCGAAAACACTTGCCTTCAAATATGTGTACTAATATTTTCGATCATGCAACTTTCTAAGAACTTATTGGGTTGGAACCATTGAGAAGGCTGCCATCGCTAAGCATGATCACACTATATCACAAGTTGTGCCCCTTGTAATGAAAATGCTGTTCTTATCTCGTATAGCTTCACAAAGATGGTGACTACCATGGGCGGCGATCTAGTTGATCAGACAACGAAAACATTTGCAATTTCATCCCTGACACAAAAACATAGACAATTGTTGGGGGGTTTAAAAAATGAAAAAGTTGAGAAAACAAAGACAGGCGGGGGTAAATCACATTCATACGAAGATGTACAGTCATGGATGTTGACATGTGAAACGTTCCTTGATTGGACTATCGATATGTGTGATAGTCCCATCATATTTAGCACAGGAAAGTGGGCTTGATGTGGCAAGGGTGGAAACAAGACTTTGATAGAAGGGCCTATGGATGCTTTTCCCTTGGGAAGATGCACAGGACAAGGGCTGATTAAACATTACCAGAGACCATATACCGGTCTCTGACATTACCTACCATAATCGACATAATAAACGCCCAGGGCGCTCTAAAAATTAGAAATAGGGTGCTCTTATTAGAGTATAATTTTAGCGAGAAAAAAACAGAATTGAAAGATTGTAAATTTTCTGGTTTATGCTGATAGCCCGAAATGATACAAAAGAAAAGTATGTGCGTATGCAAGTCAGATATATTTTCCAAAATTTAATTGTCCATAATTAAGGGTGCATATATCATACAATTGCGTAGTATACAAGAATAAATAAGTCTTGTGTACATTGATCAATTGGAAGGGGTGCTAATTGGGATTGTTCACTAGCCAATATATTAGCAAATATCGCCGTGGGCGCTTATTAGAGTGGGGTGCTTATTACGTCGAATACAGTATTGCCAATAAAATGATATAATATCCACTAGACCACGGAGGCAGCCAGGGGATTGAACCACCAACCTTCCGCTCTCCGTCAAACAAAACCTCCACTGGACCACTTAAAATCCTGAAAACTGCCAACACTGAATTATAAGCCCATTTCTTACCTCACATGCACACACAACATAATGGCCATCGTCTGTGATGTCCATGATGCTGGTGATGAACTGATGCTGGGCCATTCGCAGGTCGTGGATCAGACGCCGTTCCTGAAGCTCCCACACCAACAGCGGCGACGGTTTCTGTGTTTCGTCACCACACACTAGAATCTTGCCATTCTTACTGATCAAGAGACTGTTGAGAAAACGATCCTCGCCCGCTTTGAACGTTGCCACGGTGTCACCTGACTCAATGTCAAGGACATTGATGTACATCCTATTTCGGGACAAAGTGATCACGCTTTCGTCATTCCGAACACCAAACATCGGTTGCTTGAGATTCAGGACCCCCCGAAGCTTCGTTTCCAGGCATCCTTGATCAAGGTCATAAATTAACAGTTCTCGATTGCACAGAACCACAGCTTGGAACGAATCAACCATTTTCAAATCTTGAGGTCGATGAACTCCTGTTAACTTTCGAACAAATTTATGCGTTTTTCTATCCCAAACAGTTATCTCGTCAGAGTTAGATGACAAGCTTATGATAAAAGTCGTGTGCCCCGGCACCCAGTACAAACCGCTGAGTTCATCATCTGAAATGGGTGGCGGGATCTGAGAGTTGGGATGTAGCAGACACGTAGACATGGCCTCCAAACGGACATCCGTCTCACCTTGGCATGTCTGCAACAGCTTTCCGATGTTTGTGTGCTGGGAATGGTCCAGTATCTCCGATAACCTAGACAGGAACTGACTGGTGATTTGAGAGTGACATATATCTAGCGCCCCTGCCGACAGTGCTAAAGCTTGGTAGAGAAGTTTGACTTCGGAGTTTACCTTCTGTTGTTCGTCCATATCTCCCAAAACACAAAGAGTGCTTGTAGCTGCGATCTTCGCCCTGAGCCAGTCCATATTGAATATAAACTGATTGTTAAAGTTTCCTCTCTTGCACTGTGAACACTGGTACGGGTATTCCAAATATTTCAAAATTTTGAAATTCTTTAAGTAGAACAAATGCTTGGCAGCTTGCTCTTCATTATCACTGGTAACACTTTCATAGAAGGCGCACAGATGTTGATGAACCTTGTCTGCACTGCCTTCTGATAAATATCGTCTCATGAGCAATGTCCGTAAATGTGTACTAAATAATACATGAAGCAAAACACCATTGAATGTAAAAACATGTAAAAAAGGCTGCAGGCATGTCTTGATCTCCAGCCACATGAAAAACAATGTGTGGAAAACTGTTGTTGGATCTGAGAGCTTCAGTGCTTTCAGTATTTCTTCATCTTGGGACAAAATGGCTGCAATGTGAAAACTTGACAATCCTGACTGTGACAGTAAAAGAAAACAAATTAATTTGGACACGATTATATGACTGAATGTGCTCTCCAGCTTCTGAAAAAGTTGCTGAAATGATAATTCAGTCCTCGTGGGTTGGTCGCCGGATATCACAGAAAGGCTTGACAAATCACAGAATAGTTGTACCCCAAGGGAGGCAACTACTGTATGGGATTGGTCATGTATCACAGAAGGAATTTTACTATCTTCGATACTGGAGAGCGCTATCATTTTCTTCACCATCTCATTGGAGGCATTTGTTGTTAGGCATGGCACTTGAACAAAACAATCTCTTGGCATCTGAAAGAAGAGATTTAATCTTTAGAGTATTCCACAATTGTTCAAAATGGGCAAGAAAAGATCAAAGACTACACAGTCAAGTGTTTGAGTGTGGTATTGGTTGTGGTTAACGGCACTTCTGAAAAACTAGATCGAGAAAGTCAAAAACCTCTAGCTACCCTTACTTAGAAAATCACATCCACTGGACGACAAATGACCTTGACCCTCAATTTCAAACAGACATAAGGTTGCCCAAATCGTCAAATAGGTAGAACAAATGGTAGGGAGAATGATCATTCCACTGACCTTGACCTTCAATGTCACTCAGGAAATTACCAAGTCCATGCCCATCCTAGACAATATATACCATATTTCATCTACCTACAGTAGAAACTTCTTACATATAACATATTTATGAGCTAATGACCTTAAGTTTGTTTGTTTGTTTGTTTGTTTGTTGTTTAACACTGCACTCAGCAATATTTCAGCCATATGATGGTGGTCTGTAAGTAATCAAGTCTGGACCGGACAATCCTGGGATAGACATCATGAGGATCGAGCCACGCAACTGGGATCAATGACATGCATCAACCAAGTCAGCGAGCCTGACCACCTGATCCTGTTAGTCACCTCTTATGATAAGCATAGTCACCTTTTACAGCAAGCATGGGTTGCTGAAGACCTATTCTACCCCGGATCTTCACGGGTTTAATAACCTTACTTGACCTTCAATATCCAATGTTTATCATATTCCTAAGTGGAATTCAGTTTAACAATGAAAATATGGTATATGTTCCTCATTAGCATACATAGAAAGGGACCTACTACCGTTATCATATGACTGTCATCACTTGTCATACATATATATGTATTCATATCATGCAACCACCACATGCTTAAAACTTCAAAATATCTACATGAAAGGGCATTGAAGTAGAAATGGTAAGCATATACATTGCCTGAATACCAATTAGTGACCTTGACCTAATATGAAGATTCAAGATTCAGTTTGAGTCCTCAACCTCAGGTTATGATCTTGACCCTTGGCATGACTGATCCTGCCATCCAGCCATCCATCCATCAATGCATCCATCCATATGGCCAGCCATTAATGCATCCATCCATCAATGCATCCATCCAGCCAGCAATGCATTCATCCATCCATCCAGCCATCAATGCATCCATCCAGCCAGCCATCAATGCATCCATCCATCCATGCATCCTTCCACCCATCCAGCCATCAATGCATCCATCCAGCATCAATGCATCCATCCATCCATCCATCAATGCATCCATCCAGCCAGCCAGCCATCAATGCATCCATCCATCAATCCATCCAGTCATCAATGCATCCATCAATGCATCCGGCAGCCAGCCAGCCAGTCATCAATGCATCCATCCATCCAGTCATCAATGCATCCATCCAGCCAGCCATCAATGCATCCATCCATCAATCCATACAGTCATCAATGCATCCATCAATCCATCAATGCATCCGGCAGCCAGCCAGCCAGTCATCAATGCATCCATCCATCCAGTCATCAATGCATCCATCCATCCATCCAGTCATCAATGCATCCATCCATCAATCCATCCAGTCATCAATGCATCCATCCATCCAGTCATCAATGCATCCATCCATCCATCGAGTCATCAATGCATCCATCCATCCAGTCATCAATGCATCCATCCATCCAGTCATCAATGCATCCATCCATCCATCCAGTCATCAGTGCATCCATCCTGTCATCAATGCATCCATCCATCCATCCAGTCATCAATGCATCCATCCATCCAGCCATCAATGCATCCATCATCCAGTCATCAATGCATCCATCCAGTCATCAATGCATCATCCATCCATCCATCTAGTCATCAATGCATCCATCCATCCAGCCATCAATGCATACATCCATCCATCAATGCATCCATCAATCCAGCCATCAATGCATCATCCATCCATCCAGTCATCAATGCATCCATCCATCAGTGCATCCATCCATTCAGCCATCAATGCATCCATCCATCCAATCATCAATGCATCCATCCATTCAGTCATCAATGCATCCATCCATCCAGTTATTAATGCATCCATCCAATCATCAATGCATCCATCCATTCAGTCATCAATGCATCCATCCATCCAGTTATTAATGCATCCATCCATCTAGTAATCAATGCATCCACCCAGTCATCAATGCATCCATCCATCAATGCATCCATCCATCCAGTCATCAATGCACCCATCCAGTCATCAATGCATCCATTCATCTATCCAGCCATCAATGCATCCATCCATTCAGCCATCAATGCATCCATCCATCCAGTCATCAATGCATCCATCCATCCAGTCATCAATGCATCATCCATCCATCCATCAATGCATCCATCCATCCATCCAAACAGCCATCAATGCATACATCCAGTCATCAATGCATCCATCCATCCACCCAGTCATCAATGCATCCATCCAGCCAGACATCAATGCATCTATCCATCCATCCAGTCATCAATTCATCCAGCCAGCCATCAATGCATCCATCCATCCAGCCATCAATGCATCCATCCATCCATCCATCCAAACAGCCATCAATGCATACATCCAGTCATCAATGCATCCATCCAGTCATCAATTCATCCAGCCAGCCATCAATGCATCCATCCATCCAGCCAGTCATCAATTCATCCAGCCAGCCATCAATGCATCCATCCATCCAGCCAGCCATCAATTCATCCAGCCAGCCATCAATGCATCCATCCATCCATCCAGTCATCAATTCATCCAGCAAGCCATCAATGCATCCATCCATCCATCCAGCCAGCCATCAATTCATCCAGCCAGCCATCAATGCATCCATCCATCCATCCAGTCATCAATTCATCCAGCAAGCCATCAATGCATCCATCCACCCATCCAGCCAGCCATCAATTCATCCATCCATCCATCAATGCATCCATCCATCCATCCAGTCATCAATTCATCCAGCCAGCCATCGATGCATCCATCCATCCAGCCATCAATGCATCCATCCAGCAATCAATACATCTATCCATCCATCCAGTCATCAATTCATCCAGCCAGCCATCGATGCATCCATCCATCCATCCATCCATTCATCAATGCATCCATCCATCCAGCCAGCCATCAATCCATCCATCCAGCAATCAATGCATCTATCCATCCATCAATGCAGCCATCCATCCATCAAGCCATCCATCATCCATCCAAGCATACATCATCCATCCATCTTGAATAAACATAAAAATATCTGTGAAACTACTTCATCATCTTTTTATTATCCTTCATCCTTGTTCTTAATCTGCATTGAAGTCAAAACCCGGCGAATAAGCCATGTTGATACTACTACTGGATGGAGTATCTCACCTGACGCTTCATCTCCAGAACGACTTGATGGTTGGAGGTCAAGACCACAGCCTTGACGTGAGGCGGCAGCTGTTCCGGCACCCAGTCAATGACTGCCTCAGTTACCTCCCCTAGCACTATGATCAGAGGGCGCTGTTCACAGGCATGTTGCATCAACTCATGGAAATTAGGCTGACGATAGAAACAGATTGGAAATAACACATATCATCAGATAATGGACAGTGTTATCGATGCGAAAAACCACCAGATACACTTGGTGTCACAATCCGACAAAAATATTCAAATGAGGCCACAGAGCAAAAACTACTTTAAAGTTCCACATGTCTATACAATGTCCGCTAATCAATAAATAATTGACAATTATTCCCATAAATTTTAGATTGTGGTTTCCGATCATTTGCCACAATAGGGCAAATAGGGTGATTCAATCAATGACTATATTCACACACGGTTTTTAAAGTTACTTCATTGAGCAAAATTATGCCTTAAACATGGATTGTTTTAAGACGGACATTTCATGATAAGGAGATTATTACCTTCTTGTGTTTTCCGATTTAAAAGTATACAATATTAGGAATAAAAAATATGCACTATGCCTGCCAAGTGCTCACATAATACAATTTCTTTTCCTATATATTATATTATATGGAAACCAAATCAGGTAATTATCTTCATAAATTATACAGTTAATGTTTGTTTTAATAAAAAGACCTACAAGTGGTGCACTTTACATTGAAGACACTAGATGGAAGCAAATAGTTAGTAATATAAAGTCATTAAATATGTCTACATGTACAGTATGCAAGTCTTTTCCAAAATGTGTTGTTTTCCTAAGGCAAGATCAATATGTTTACTGATTTTCTTAATGAGATAACCTGTAACCAAATTATAAATTAAACTGCCAGGCAAAAGAAAGTATTCACCAATTTTTGAAGGTGGCTTAAATTGTGGCTTAATTTTTGAAGGTGGCTTAAATTGAAGTAAGTGAGTGAGTGAGTGAGTGAGTGAGTGAGTGAGTGAGTGAGTGAGTGAGTGAGTGAGTTGGGTTTTACGCCGCTTTTAACAGTATTCCAGTTATATCACAGCGTGTCAGCTTAATGTGGGAGGAAAGACCAAAGTGATGCAGGTCTCAGACGTTTACCACTTCGGTGAAACCCACGAGCACAGGCATGGTGCTGACAAACCTAGAAACATAATCGGGGCGAACCGGGATTCGAACCCACAATCACAGGTTTCTGGCGTGCCCAAGGGACGCAACTCTGCACAGCGAATCGCAGCGCCTTAGACGACTGGGCCACCCGTGCCCCCGCTTAAATTGAAAATAAAAACAAGAGAGGGTTATTCAATGGTGATGTATTTGATACGGATATCATGGTTGTGTTTTGGACCTTACGTTTGGGTGACTTGTCAGCCTGGCAATGGTCGTTATTATTTGGTCAAATTTAATTTATAAAGTCATTCTTTCTTTACCCAGCATTTTATATCTTTTCATTGATTTTATGTTTTTATTTGAAAAAAAAGCTCTTGACATCAAATATAAATCAAATATATTCATCATATTTCAATGTTTGTTTTATTTTTCTAACATGGCGGGGTTTATCAATATTTACCAGATCTAAGCATGCAACCGGTTGACAGTAGAGGTGTCCCATCTGGATGCATATCCCTGCCACCATAGATCCGATGCTCTTGCTCTCCGGCGTCAGTCCGAGGAAGCGTACCACGGTAGCGGCGTTGTTGTCGGAGATCAATGACACCACATGGGAGGTCAGGGCATGCGTGTCGACCTCGGCATCACACACCAGCACCATCGGGAACTCATCGGAGTTGGTGAGGTAAGCGGAGATCCGACTCAACACCGGCAGTGACGGTGTGTAGATGTGCTGGAGGTTCTGACACAGTGAGGTATGGGCTGCCACCTCTTGGTAAATCTTGTCTGGAATATCTAGAGAATGTGGGGTCGGCAATTATTATGTGAGGCTTGCTTAATTCTGAAGACCGATAATGGTTTTGTTTTAGTTTTTTTATAAAAGTTTCAGAGCTATTTCTTGCCTCTTCATCTTCTCGAGGCAAGGGAGTTAACTGACGATAAAAGTCCAGTTTCCACCCCAATCTCATTAAAATCAGATCTTAGTTCTCGCTACCGCGTAACAAAGATCTGAGGTCATGTCAGTCTGACCTTTCGCGAACTTTGACCGATCAATGGAATGACTAACAAGAAGTCGATAATAGCCAATCAGAAGGCAGCTTAATCAAGCTTGACGGCACAAGTTCCAAACTGGCGACTAACCTCGATTAAAAAATTATAAAATCGAACAAAAGAACATTCTGGAATGGCTAATAGATGGTCCAGATTGTATGAATACAGACATAAAGCCCATAACTGTTTTTTTCGAGGTTGCACGATCAAAAAACACATTCAAACTGTCACTTTCATGATCTGATAAGCGATGCACTTATTGGTCAGATGAAAGGTTGTTCTGACATGACCCGCTATGGGATGTCCTCTTTGTTTAGCAGTAGCAAGAACTGAGATCTGATTTTAATGATATTGGTTTCCACCCTTGCTAAACTAGGCCGGAATTTCTGGGGTTCGACTGTAGCACCACCAGTGGTAATTACGAGTTATGTCCCTTCTATGTCCCTCCTATTGACCAATCAGATTCCATCACTCATATCACTTGCATTTGCTTCAAACAAAATGGCGTCTCTAAGTGATTATAATCTGATTGATAATCAATATCTATAGTCATGAAAATATTTGAAAAATATTTGTTGACGCTAAGTTGACGATACACATGTTTCCTGAAATTGATCAAAATCTGCACGGCAGTTTACGAACCGTATGTTGATTTCATTGTGCAATTTTGATTGGACTATGCATAGACTAGTTAGTCCAGCCAAAATATGACTCTAGCCTAGTTCTGCAAGGGTGGAAACTGGACTTGTATAGTCAGTTAACTCCCTTGCCTCGGGAATATGTTGCCCCTTCATCAGGTTTGTTTGTTTGTTTTGTTTGTTTGTTTGTTGTTTAACCCCGCACTCAGCAATGTTTCAGCCATATGATGGCGGTCTGTAAATAATCGAGTCTGGACCAGACAATCCAGTGACTGATCTCATGAGCATTGATCTACACAATAAGGAGATGACATCAACCAAGTCAGGGAGCCTGACCACCCGATCCCGTTAGTCTCCTCTTACAACAAGCATAGTCGCCATTTGAGGCAAGCATGGGTTGCTGGAGACCTATTTTTCACCAGATCTTCACGGGTTCCTTCATCAAGTATTTATATTACTCAAAAGAAGTTACAGAACACCCCATTCCTTCATGGCATGACTGATTAACAATAGTAATATGAAAGATTTGAGTGGTCCTTAACTTGCAGTATAGGATTCATAAACAACTACAGTAAACTACGGTTATAACGAACACGGTTATAACGAACTAACGGATATAACGAACTAACTTTTTAGTCCCGACTATATGCTGTAGTTCTGCTGTATATATGCTTATAATGAATTACGGTTATAACGAACTAAATTAGTAGTCCCTTTGAGTTCGTTATAACCGTAGTTTACTGTACATATCAATATGAAATGGGGACTTTACAGATCCAATTTGGGAACTTTTACTGATGTTTAATTATATTGTCAGGTCTAAGTTGTGAGTGAGTGAGTATGGTTTTACGCCGCTTTTAGCAATAATCCAGCAATATCACGGCGGGGGACACCAGAAATGGGCTTCACACATTGTAGTAATGTCGGGAATTGAACCCGGGTCTTCGGCGTGACGTGCGAACGCTTTAACCACTAGGCTATCCACCCGCCCCTGTTTGATTTTCAATTGAAAATATCTTAAAGTAGTGATATTATATATAAAAAAAATAACTGTACTTAGTCAGCACTCAAATGATATTTCTACATAATTAAATTTAAAAAATATAATTTGATATAAAACTTTTAAAAATTAATTTATTTTTGTTCGCACAATACTCAAGTGCTGATAGGTATCTTAGACATCTTGAAAATCACTAGATTTGCTTTTTTGGGCACAACATTTCAAACATGGTCATGTGGTTACAAATTCATTTCTTACTCAGTCTTCCTTGAACCAATCTCATTAAAATCAGATCTTAGTTCTCGCTACCGCTGAACAAAGATCTGAAGACATCCCATTAGGGGTCACGTCAGAACGACCTTTCATCTGACCAATCAGTGCGTCGCTTACCAGATTATGAAAGTGACTGTTGGAATGTGATTTCTAGTCATGCAATCTCGAAAACTTTAACATGGTGTATTCCGAACGATAGTTACGGGTTTAACAACTGAATCCGTACAACCTGACCATCTATTAGCCATTCCAGAATGTTTTTTTGTTCAGGTTTCAAATTTGTAACCGAGAATTTGTCAAAATATGTTTCGAAGCGTAGTCGCCAATTTGAAATTTGTGCCGTAAAGCACGAGAAAGCTGCCTTCTGATTGGTCATTCCATTGGTCGGTCAAAGTTCGCGTAAGGTCGGCCTGACGTGACCCGTAATGGAATGTCCTCAGATCTTTGTTAAGCGGAAGCGAGAACAAAGATCTGATTTTAATAAGATTGTCCTTGAACCAATTTATTTGTACACAAAATTACCCAGTAACAGATTACTGTGTACAAACTTTTGCAGGAATGGGTGATGGTTAAATAGACATAATTTAAATTAAATTTAACAACAGTTTTTTCAATGTTCAATTACATAAATAATAAACTTGGCACACTTTCTTTTGCCCCCTCAATTTAACTCCAAATGACAAAACTAATGCATGTTGACAAACAGACATGTTGGTCATTGTTTCATGTTACACAGGATAGGATTAATGCCCTAAGATAACAAGGTTATATTGCAGTACCCGGTACTCCAGAAAATCAAGCATATCACTCACTGAGAGGTAAGATGGTTGAGCTGTGTGTATCCATGATGCTTTGCAGCTTCCCAGTCAGGTCCTTTCGTAGAGTTTCACAGAAATTCTGTATGTACTGGGCATGCTCAGCGACCTTTGCAGGGTCAAGGTCATTAGGCGTCCACTGGACATCAAACTTAACAATGTTGGAATTTGGCACATTATTATCAATAAGTTCCTTCAAATGTTGTATAGTTGCCAGAGAGTGTTGGTCTCTCTCCCCGTTGACCACGTCCATGTAAAGTTCGGACACCCCCGTAACGTCTGTGAATGACCGCATCACCACAAACACATTGTCAGGTGGAACTCTCTTGGATATGAGGCCTAGATTTATCTCCGTTTCCAAACCTGAAATTCAAATAAAAGTGTTGTAATTCTCATGAAAAGCTGAAACCTCTCCGTGCACTATAAGGTCTCAGGTAGACTAACCTGATATTGCAGTAATCTAGACTTGCCAAACATTATAGCCTTGCATGGGCTGTATTGGATATATTTGTTTCAGGGTCTGTATGACAGACTAGGTCTCAAGTTAAAATAAGTGAGTGTAATAAATGGCTACATGGTATTGAGGTCATGTTTTCATCTAATTTAGTTCAAGACAAAAAGTTCATTATATGGGCCTGTGGAGATTCCAGGGTAGATTCATAGGCAGGATAGGTCCCCAGTAGCCCATGTTTGACTCCCTGTGGAGATTCCAAGGCAGGTTAGGTCAACAGTAGCCCATGTTTGACTCCCTGTGGAGATTCCAGGGTAGGTTAGGTGTCTGGAGTCCATGTTTGACTCCATGTGGAGATTCCAAGGCAGGTTAGGTCAACAGTAGCCCATGTTTGACTCCCTGTGGAGTTTCCAGGGTAGGTAAGGTGTCTGGAGTCCATGTTTGACTCCATGTGGAGATTCCAAGGCAGGTTGGGTCAACAGTAGCCCATGTTTGACTCCCTGTGGAGTTTCCAGGGTAGGTAAGGTGTCTGGAGTCCATGTTTGTCTCCCTGTGGAGATTCCAAGGCAGGTTAGGTCAACAGTAGCCCATGTTTGACTCCCTGTGGAGATTCCAAGGCAGGTTAGGTCAACAGTAGCCCATGTTTGACTCCCTGTGGAGATTCCAGGGTAGGTTAGGTGTCTGGAGTCCATGTTTGACTCCCTGTGGAGATTCCAAGGCAGGTTAGGTCCCCAGTAGCCCATGTTTGTCTCCCTGTGGAGATTCCAAGGCAGGTTAGGTCAACAGTAGCCCATGTTTGACTCCCTGTGGAGTTTCACGAGTAGGTGAGGTGTCTGGAGTCCATGTTTGACTCCCTGTGGAGATTCCAAGGCAGGTTAGGTGCCTGGAGTCCATGTTTGACTCCCTGTGGAGGTTCCAAGGCAGGTTGGGTCTCCAGTAGCCCATGCCTGTCTCCCTGTGGAGATTCCAAGGTAGGTTAGGTGCCTGGAGTCCACGATTGACACCCTGTGGAGTTTCCAGGGTAGAATAGTTCCCTAGCAACCTATGCTAGATGTAAGAGGGGACTTAATCAGACCTGGTTGTCATGCTTGGTAACTTGATTGATAGCATGTCATCTTACTCTGACGACATAGAACGATGCTCATAATGTCAACCACTGGCTTGTCTCATCAGACTTAATCACTGACTGCCATGGTACAGCTGGAATATCATGGACCATGTAAACGAGAAACAAACAATATCTCTATAATCACACTTGAGGGAACTCAGGGTCAAATATATCCCTGGAACCTTATGCTCGTTTACAGCTGCAGCATGGTTCAAAACTCCTTTTCTTCATGCGACAATGGCATAGTTCAAATCATAATGGCACTGTTGAAAATAGAACCTGGAGTCTCTAGCTATCACCAAGAAATATTATTTTGTTTAGCAAAAATGGTTATGTTAAGAAGTTGATAAATGTACCTTCACAAAGTGGACTGGACACATGCATGAAAATATGCTTAGTGGACATATTTTAAATTCATAAAAAAAATCCAAGGGATTAGGATACTGAAAATGGCATCATCTATTTCAATAGAAAGGAAGAGGCAAACTAGCTCAGTGTCACATGACATCCACTGAGTTTGAAGATGGATCAACAGTATATTGTTTTCGTTGGTAAAATTAAATTCCAAAGGGCACATTTATATATCTGTGAATTTCTTGTGGTACACTTGGAAGAAAGTACATCTCTCACAGGGTGTATCTGAACTTTTTAGTGGCGGTCGGGTAGCCTGGCGGTTAAAGCGTTTGCTTGTCACGCGGAAGACCTGGGTTCCATTCCCGACATGGGTACAATGTGTGAAGCCCATTTCTGGTGTCCCCTGCCGTGGTATTGCTGGAATATTGCTAAAAACAGCGTTAAACCTCACTCACTCACTCACTCACTGAACTTTTCAGTGAATCAATAGTGATGGATGGGTAAGCCATGGGTGAATGTGTGTACTCTCGCTTTGACTTCCTGGATCAAAGCTGCTTGTGCTTGATCATTCATTTACAACAGGAATACTGCTGGATTGTTGCTGACGCAGCTTTTTTTTACTTGGTTTATGGATTTCTTTATGTGTTGGAGTGAGTGAGTGAGTGAGTGAGTGAGTGAGTGCATGTGTTAATGGATGAGTTCACCTTTTAATGAATGAATGAGTGAGTGTTAATGAATGAATGGAGTGAGAGCGAGTGAGTGAGTGTGTCAATCATTGACGAGTGAGTGAGTGTGTGAGTCAATGACTGAGTGAGTGAGTGCATGTGTGTTAATGAGTGAGTGAGTGAGTGTGTCAATCACTGACTGAGTGAGTCAATGACTGAGTGAGTGAGTGCATGTGTTAATGAGTGAGTGAGTGAGTGAGCGAATGAGTGAACTGGCTTGGAAAAAAACCATATTTAAGTTTTGTCACCGTATGATTTGGGTCAAGGGTCAACGTAACAACACAAAGAAAATTAAAAATTATTTCTTTGCAGAGCATTCTCATTAGTATTGTGGAAAAGGTGTACTAACAAAACAAGTCAAGAAGATAAACATACTTCTTGATGAACTCTATGAATTGTCATGGTGGTAGAGCCCAAAAGAATTCTTAAAATGACTAGTTTGACCTATTTCAGAGATTATTTATTACTGAAAAGGCAGAAAACTAGGGGCCATTCAGTCAAAAAATACAAAGTTGAAATAAAGGACAAAAGTACGCAATAATAGTCAAATGTTACTAATAAAGGTCAAAATACAAAACAAACAGATTTCGGTTATAAAATATAAAAATGAAATAAAGGTCAAAAGTTCGCAAAAATAGTCAAATTAATATGAAAACTGCATGTCTAGGTGTATTTTTTGATCGAATGGCCGCCCATAGATTGTTTGTTTGTTGTTTAACACCGCACTCAGCAATGTTCCAGCTATATGACGGCGGTCTGTAAATAATCGAGTCTGGACCAGACAATCCAGTGATTGACATCATGGGCATCGATCCATGCAATTGGGATACAATAACAGCGAGCCTGACATTTGTAGTATATTACAATGACCGTGTAAATTGCATTCTCTTGAGGTTCACTATTCGCAAGGATATACCATGGGTAAATACAAATGTTATTGGTTATGTGAACTTAGTAACAGGTTTACCTGACTTAAGGTACCTCTGCTGGTTTTCCTCTGTCATATATTTCTTCCACACAGCCTCGATCTGGGCCATTTTCGTCTGTGTGCTTTTCCCCTTCTTGCTCTCGTTTGAGTGGAACACGGTGAGGTTACAGGTGAAAGGTTCAACAGTGTCATCATCACGGTAACTTGATTCAATCAACTTCTTCTCCGTTTCATCAGTAATGAGTGACACAGTGTCTGTGAAAACGTCCCTGGGTAGTATCCAAGGGAGACAACTGCCCAGCTTGTCATTAAGCAACACCTGGAATAATAGACATTTTATTCTCACATTTAACAAATTCAAAAACATTAAATGTTATGGAGCTGAAAAAACAAACAGTTTAAAAGATTACTTGGTACATACAGAGAAATTTATATATTATGCTACTTTCTCAACTCATTATATTTTAATAATGCCCATTGGTGATTCTGGTAAGGCTGGGACGGGCAACTCGGGTACTCGTGGCGGGTGGGTACTGAGTAGGACCCGGGTACCTACAGGACTGCCCGGACTCATGGTTAGTCACGTGATTATATGGTTTAATGACAAAAATTATCCAGATCTCTATACATGTAGTTACACTATAAGTGACAAATGTTCACATTTCTTTTTGACAATGCTCACATTCCTTCTGACTTTATATGTTTCAATAAAGATAAAACTTCAGTCAGTTTCAGTGTATGCATGACCAGATTAGTTTATACATGTATTTAAATACATTTTGACAGGAGTACGGTCAAACGTTTCCCGATTAGACATTTTGTACCTATCCCTTGAGACCTACAGTGGGTACTCGGGTAGGGTCGGGTAATAGAGGGTCGGGTACCCGGGTAGTAAATTTGTATTCGTCCCTGCCCTAGATTCTGGGTTAGAACCTGTCGCCAGCATCCTATGCCTGGTAAGCGGCTACTGAATGGATAGGGGAGTTCGGCTTGGTGACCTGGTTGCCATCGTGTCATTGTACCCTGACTACATAGATTGTTGCTCTCAATATTAATCACGGGTGTGTCTTATCCTGACTTAATAATTTACAGCCTGCTGTCATATTGCTGGATAATTGCTGAGTGTGGCGTTAAACAAACACGCAATCAAACAAAATGGTGGTTGGAAGCCTTCAAATCTCATTAAAATCAGATCTAAGTTCTCGCTGCCGCTAAACAAAGATCTGACGACATCCCATTACGGGTTGAGTCGGACGACCTTTCGCGAACTTTGATTGACCACTGAAATGACTGCCATGAAGTCGACATCAGCCAATTAGAAAGCAGCTTTCTCGAGCTTTATGGCACTCGTTTCAACCTGGCGACTTCCATTTCAGACCACGCTTGAAAAATATTGACACAAATCTCGATTAATATTTTGAAACCTGAACAAACGAACATTCCAGAATGTCTAATATATGCTTGAGATTGTATGGCAGTGCTTCCTACGTACTGTGCAACGCCCCCTGCATTCAAATGTTTATCCCGCGGAAGCGAGAGATAGACGATAATTTTGACGGAATCAGTCGTACGGGCGGTAACGTTTTCGAGGTTGCATGATTAGAAAACACATTCCGACTGTCACTTTCATGATCTGGTAAGCGACACTTTGATTGGTCGGATGAAAGGTCGTGCTATCGTGACCCGTAACCGGATGTCCTCAGATCTTTGTTTAGCGATAGCTAATTCTTGGTACAGTGAGAAAAATATATTCAGAACAATATGTATGACTTTAGTATCTTAAAAATGATTACATATGGGCAGTTCTGAATGGAGAATAATAAAGTCCATGATATGGTGTGGATATTTTACACCCTGTTGTCTTAGTCCCATCTTCCCATCAATGACATTAGTATTGCTTTAGCAGTGGTTGCAGTTTTTCATAAACCAACCAGAGTTGCCTCCCTTGGGCACGCCAGAAACCTATGATTGCGGGTTCGAATCCCGGTTCGCACCGATTATGTTTCTAGGTTTGTCAGCACCATACCTGTGCTCGTGGGTTTCACCAAAGTGGTAAACGTCTGATACCTGCATCACCTCGGGCTTTCCTCCAACATTAAGCTGACACGCCGTGATATAACTGGAATACTGTTAAAAGCGGCGTTAAATCCAACTCACTCACTCACTATCAATTTACATGAATAAATGAAACAGGTTATTCTTTTAAAGATGTTCATTGTATTACATTAAGTTACAATTAGTTTCTCCATCTTTGAGATGTGTTTTGATACCTAAACAAGTTCTCCTTTCATCTAAATGATATTTGTTTGCACATTGCAAACGGCCTGCCCATTGTACGCAATGGGAGGTGCACAGATTGTGTGTAACACATATACCAGGAAACACTGTCAAACCATGCTAGCGGTATAATAAAGCTGACTTGCTATAAAATGCAAGCATCCCTGCCCACGTTGGAGTGTTTGGTAACGAACACGATGACAAAACAGCTAAATCAGCGCTAAAATTGGAAGTAAGAATCAACCTTCCAATATCTAAAAACGGAATTAAAAATATTACTTAAGTAAAAATCTTCCAAAAGTGGCAAAACAACTATCAGAAATCAAACTGCAAACTAAAACACCTGCGCCAAAGCCACTAAAAAACAAACAAAATCAAAATCATAAAAATAAAAAAATCGACAGAGCAATAAACAAATTACAAACAGGCCACATTAACCTAAACTCACACCTACACCAAATTAAAAACATCAAACCGGTAAATGCCCACATTGCAACCAAATAGAAACCTCTGAACACGTAATACTACATTGCACACATTACCAACAACACAGAACAACACTAAAATCCACACTAAACTACAACAACGAAAGACACTAAACCCCTTAAATAACTTACAAACCTATAAGGCACTAGGCATTTATCTAATCAAAACACAACAAACAAGCTACCAATAAAACGTAAATCTTATATCTCTAAAAAAAAACACAACCTCACAAACTCCTTTACTTCCCCCACCTAACTAGCATGGCATATTTCAAAATACCAAATTTCCGCCAAAATTAATTAAGCGACCATAAGCCCCTCCAGGTTGCCTCCCCTTTCGGACATACCCTTCTCGACCACGTCACTAAATGGCCTGGCGGGCCTGTGCGCGAAATACTCAAATGTCGTAAAGCGCACGATAAAACCCAAACTACGTAAGGATTTCTTAAAGACAGTGAATCGGAAGCATGGTATTTGTTATTGAACACTTACCAACATAAGAGTCGGTACATTCCCACTTCCTCGCAGTAGATGATTGGTCAGAGACCTCTGGCTTTGTGCTGATTGGTTGGTTCCTATCCAGTGAGGATCAAGGATTTCCAAGCTGAACCCATGACTGTAACACATATCAGATAGAGGCTGGAACACGTCGCGCATAATTGCAAGTCTCTCCACGCAACTGTCTGAAAGAGAACATCAGTTAGTGAGTGTGATGTTACAGCATTTTCTGGTGAAATGTCTCTACCTACCCGATGAAATGTCCCTACCTACCTGATGAGATGTCCCTACCTACCTGGTGTAATGTCCCTACCTACCTGGTGAAGTGTCCCTGCCTACCTGATGAGATGTCCCTACCTACCTGGTGTGATGCCCCTACCTACCTGATGAGATGTCCCTACCTACCTGATGAGATGTCCCTACCTACCTGGTGTAATGTCCCTACCTACCTGGTGAAGTGTCCCTGCCTACCTGATGAGATGTCCCTACCTACCTGGTGTGATGCCCCTACCTACCTGATGAGATGTCCCTACCTACCTGGTGTGATGCCCCTACCTACCTGATGAGATGTCCCTACCTACCTGGTGTGATGCCCCTACCTACCTGATGAGATGTCCCTACCTACCTGGTGTGATGCCCATACCTACCTGATTAGATGTCCCTACCTACCTGATGAGATGTCCCTACCTACCTGGTGTGATGCCCCTACCTACCTGATGAGATGTCCCTACCTACCTGGCGTAATGTCCCTACCTACCTGGTGTAGTGTCCCTACCTGGTGTAATGCCCCTACCTTCCTGGTGAAATGTCTCTCCCTACCTGATGAGATGTCCCTACCTACCTGGTGTGATGCCCCTACCTACCTGGTGCAATGTCCCTACCTACCTGGCGTAATGTCCCTACCTACCTGGTGTAGTGTCCCTACCTGGTGTAATGTCCCTACCTACCTGGTGTAATGTCCCTACCTACCTGGTGTAATGTCCCTACCTACCTGGTGTTATTCAGGTAGATATCAACACACATCAACAGATCAATACCAGCGTCACAGCCTTTGTTCAATATCCTTCCGCTGATGAAATTGCTAATTACACCTGATAAAACCACGGTTCTGCTTTTAAGAGAGCGCCAGGGTTGATGTATTTGTTCAAGTAATGACACTGTTCTCTAGGCTGGTCCACGCCCTCAAAGAACTCCAATAAATACTTGCTGACATTGTGCATGCAGCGAGTAGGGATAACAAAGGCCATGATCCATCATCAAAACTATCACGAGGCTATTGTAGGCGGAGATCTCGGGAGGAATGTTACAGACCTTGAGATCTTTGTTATTTTTTTTCTGATACATATCTAAATAATCATTATTTGATCTCGTAAAACTATGGTAGGAAGCTGGAAATTACTTCATTTAATAAAAAAATAATAGTGTTGTTTGGGGGATATCTATGAAACAAGTCTTTGAAAGGCATTTAGAAGTGATACACATAAGGAAGAGAATTCATGGATGTCTTCTTTATAATGAGGAACACAACGTTTCGGAGTATATGCTTTCTCCTTCATCAGGTGAAGGAGTAAGTATATTCTCCGAAACGTAGCGTTCCTCGTAATTCAGAAGTTGGTATCCATGCATTATCTTCCTTATATCTATGAAACAAGCCCAATATTGACCCTCCTCTCTACATTAGAGGGTTGTATATAACAAGATTTAACTGATATTTTACACCGACATCAGCGAGTCGGGGAGCCAAGTAATACACATGCCACCACAAGGCTGCATACAAGTACTGTGAGTTTCTGACCCGTAAAGATTTCGGGGTAGAATAGGTCTTCACCAACCCATACTTGCCGTAAAAGGCGACTATGCTTGTCGTAAAAGGCGACTAAAGGGATCGGGTGGTCAGGCTCGTTGACTTGGTTGATACATGTCATCGATCCCAATTGCGTGGATCGATGCTCATGATGTTAATCACTTGATTGTCTGGTCCAGACTCGATTATTTTACAGACCGCCGTCATATAGCTGGAATATTGCTGAGTGCGGCGATAAACAACAAAAAACAAAACAAAACTAACTGTTTCTCGGGCACATGTATCACAAGTGAGCAGCGAGTGAGGACTCTATTTTTATGGTTTTTTTTAAAACAAAAGTGACGTAAGATGAACACTTTTCTTGCTTTCTCCCCAAGAATACCAACACTGGCCACACATTGAGCTGGGCCCTTTAATACAATGTCAGTGAGTTGGGTTTAACGCCGCTTTTTAAACATTATTACAGTTATATCACGGCGTGTCAGCTTCATGTGGGAGGAAAGCCCGAAGTGATGCAGGTCTCGGACGTTTACCACTTCGGTGAAACCCTAGAACACGGGTATTGTGCTGACAAACCTAGAAACATAATCGGAGCGAACCGGGAGTCGAACCCACAAACATAGGTTTCTGGCGTGCCCAAGGGACGAAACTCTGCACAGCGAATCGCGGCGCCTTAGACGACTGGGCCACCCGTGCCCCCTCATTTTATGGATAACAAGAGTATGCTTCATATGATGGAGGAAATTTGAAAAATATTATTCATTGGCAATAGATATAATAACTAACACCCTGGATTTAAAGTGACGTACTGATGCTGGAAAAACATGTTTATTTGTTTATTTGTTTAGCCTAAAGAGTTATTTCATGGACACATAGCTGAAATCCCAAACCCCTTTTATACCTTAGTGACAATACGAAAACTAAACATTTGCTACGTATTCATTGTTTGTATTCTTGAGTTTCAGTTATTTGGATACCATGCGCCATTGTTTTAGTGACAAGTCTTCCGCAGGGTAACATGTGTGGTTGCTGTATAATGTTTATAATGTGTGGTGTGGCGGTGTGCGTAGTGGGTGGTGTGTGTTTGTGTTTTGTGTGGTGGTGGTGGTGTGTGTGTGTGTGTGTTTTGTGTGGTGGTGGTGGTGTGTTATGTGTGTGGTGGTGATGTTTGTGTGTAGTGTGTGATGTGTGTGTGTTGTGTGTGGTGGTGGTGGTGTGTGTAGTGTGTGATGTGTGTGGTGTGTGCGGTGGTGATGTTTGTGAGTAGTGTGTGATGTGTGTGTTTTGTGTTGGTGATGTTTGTGTGTAGTGTGTGATGTGTGTGTTGGTGATGTTTGTGTGTAGTGTGTGATGTGTGTGTTGTGTGCGGTGGTGGTGTTTGTGTGTAGTGTGTGATGTGTGTGTGTTGTGTGTGGTGTTTGTGTGTAGTGTGGGATGTGTGTGTGTTGTGTGTGGTGGTGGTGTTTGTGTGTAGTGTGTGATGTGTGTGTTGTGTCTTGTGGTGATGTTTGTGTGTAGTGTGTGTGTAGTATGGTGTGTTAGTGTTGATAGATGTGAGTAGTGTGTTATGTGCGTGTAATGGGTGGTGTGTGTGTTTTATGTGGTGGTGTGTGTGTGTAATAATGTGTGTTTAGTGTTTATGGATGTGTGTAGTGTGTGTGTGTGTGTGTAGTGTGTGTAGTATGGTGTGTTTAGTGTTGATAGATGTGTGTAGTCTTTGTGTAGTGTTTGTTTCGTGTGTTTGGTGTGTGTAGTATTGTGTGTTTAGTGTTGACAGATGTGTGTAGTGTTTGTGTAGTGTGTGTCTAGTGTTTGTGTAGTGTGTGTAGTGTTTGTGGTATGTGTGTGTAGTATGGTGTGTTTAGTGTTGACAGATGTGTGTAGTGTTTGTGTAGCGTGTGTTTGGTGTTAATATATGTGTGTGTAGTGTGTGTTGTGTATGTAGTGTGTGTGGTGTGTGTGTTGTCTTTGTGTAGTGTTTGTTTTGTGTGTGTTTAGTGTGTGTAGTATTGTGTGTTTAGTGTTGATAGATGTGTATGTGTATGTGTGTGTAGTATGGTGTGTTTAGTGTCGATAGGGGACGGTCGGGTAGCCAAGTGGTTAAAGCGTTCGCTTGTCACGCCGAAGACCCGGTTTCGATTCTCGACATGGGTACAATGTGTGAAGCCCATTTCTGGTGTCCCCCGCCGTGATATTGCTGGAATATTGCTAAAAGCAACGTAAAGGCATACTCACTCACTCACTCACTCACTTGTGTCGATAGATGTGTGTACAATGTGTGTAGTGTTTGTGTTGTGTGCGTAGTGTGTGGTTGTGTGTGTAGTATGGTGTGTTTAGAGTTGATAGATGTGTATAGTGTTTGTGGAGTGTGTGCGTAGTGTGTGGTTGTGTGTATGTTGTGTGTGTAGTATGGTGTGTTTAGAGTTGATAGATGTGTGTAGTGTTTGTGGAGTGTGTGTAGTGTTGTGTGCGTAGTGTGTGGTTGTGTGTATGGTGTGTGTGTAGTATGGTGTGTTTAGAATTCTCTCTCTCTCTCTCTCTCTCTCTCTCTCTCTCTCTCTCTCTCTATATATATATATATATATATATATATATATATTATGTCATGCAAACTTGATATTTGACCCAAGATATTCGCATCCAGGTCAGCTGATGAAGCTTACCTGATTCACAGGCTGCGACGAAGAGACGAATCTCTCTGGGCCTCTCATCGTGGAACTCGTTCACGTTGCCTAGCAACAGATGCTGCACGTACTTCGGATAATCTTCAAGGCTGATTCCTTTCAGGCCCATGGACGTCTGGCTTGTTCGATGAGACCTAACCGGTGTTTGGACCCTGAACGACATATTTTGAACATTTGCAGATGCTAATTTTATCTGAGCTCGACCTTCCATGCTCGGACTGGCCTCATTTTCAGATGTGTTTGGCTTTGATTGGTTGGTCGCTTTCGAGGGCTCGTCCACGTGCAGGTTAACTGCACTCGATGACGTTAAGCTCTGCACGCGTTTCTGTCGGCCTTGAGAACCTTTTGACCTGAATGGAAGATGGATATTAATGGAAAGGTAATTGCAAGTCCTAGAATTATATACCTTGTGGTCAATCGACCTCCAAGTGCTGCAGTCGAGGTACCCTGTTTGTTTTCTAACGCGACAGTCGGTAATATTCCGGCTATATGACGGCGGTCTGTTAATAATCTAGTCTGGACCAAACAATCTAGTGATTGACATCATGAGCATTTATCTATCCACACTGTTCGAGCTAAGGCTGGAAATAGCACCACGCCGTGGAGGAATCCTCGTGAAGATCCGGCGTAGAATAGGTCTTCAGCAACCCATGCTTGTCGTAAGAGGCGACTAACGAGCTCGGATGGCCAGGCTCGCTCACTTGGTTGATGCATGTCATTGTATCCCAATTGCATGGATTGGTGCTCATGGTTACAGTCACTGGATTGTCTGGTCCAGACTCGATTATTAAGACCGTGGCCATATAGCTGGAATATTGCCGAGAGCAGCGTTATACAAACTACCAAACAAACAAACACAACACAGTGCTGGGAAGCCCCCTTTAATATACCCTCGACACATGATATCGTCAAGGGCATGGTATGACGCACTGGTTAAAAACATTATTGGAGGTCATTAACTGACAAGGGAAGCCTTGCAAGTCTGAGCGACAATTACATGTTACTATTTTAAGTCATCAGGGCTGCCATGTTCTTTGAACTCGCGTGACAGAGGTACAAATAGGAAGCCACCAAAATCGTAACGTTTTTAATTCCGACCTACCCTTTCACAAGTGCCCGTGACACAGCAAATCCTAATTACTATATAACGGACCCGTGAAGATCCGGGAACAGGTCTTCAGCAACCCCTGCTTGCCGTAAAAGGCGACTATGCTTGTCGTAAAAGGTGACTGACGGGATTTGGTGGTCAGGCTTGCTGACTTGGTTGATGCATGTCATCGATCCCAATTGCGTGGATCAATGCTCATGATATCAATCACTGGATTGACCGCCGTCATATAGCTGGAATATTGCTGAGTGCGGCGTAAAACAACTAACAACAACAAATACTATTTAACGACACATCTTGACCGCCCCGATAACCTCCCCGGGCTTCAGCAACCCATGCTTGCTGTAAGAGATGACTAACGGGATCGGGAGGTCAAACTCGCTGACCGTACCCCGACGCGGGACGTTTCTCATAATATTAATCACAGGTTTATCTGGTCCAGACTCGATTTTTAACAGGCCGCCGGCATATGTACATGACTCGTTGAGTGAGTGAGTGAGTATGGTTTTACGCCTCTTTTAGCAATATTACAGCAATATCACGGCGGGGCACACCAGAAATGGGCTTCACACATTGTACCCATGTCGGGAATCGAACTCGCGTCTTCGGCGTGACGAGCGAACGCTTTAACCACCCGACCGCCCCAAATCGTTGAGGATCATATCAATACGATATAATTACGGATATGCAGCTGATGAGGCAGCTGTTGCTGATGTTGCAGAGTCTGCGTATGTTGATAAGGGACAGGATGATAGTGTTCGCGCTTCAAAGAAACTATATTTACATCCCAAAAATGTCCCAGCTGTTTCTTTCAAAGGTCCGGTTTGTTGTTTAACGCCACACTCAGCAATATTCCAGCTTTATGACGGCGGTCTGTAAATAATCGAGTCTGGACCAGACAATCCAGTGATTAATATCATGAGCATTGATCCACGCAATTGGGATCGATGACATGCATCAACCAAGTCAGGGAGTCTGACCACCCGATCCCGTTAGTCACCTCTTACGACAAGCATAGTCGCCTTTATAGCAAGCATGGGTTGCTGAAGACCTTTTCTACCCCGGGTCTTCACGGGCCTCCAAGGTCCAACTGTCTATAATACCAAAGGTATTTTCTATAATACCAAATGTTCTCAAGACTCATGAGTGCTGTGTTCTATGAGATTATTCACTTGCAATTGACCTCAGAGGCCTATATTCACTGTAAATAGTCTTTCGTGTTTATATTGTATAAGCCAGGGCATATTGATCATAAGTCGGGTCTTACGACATCGTTTGGTACTGCGGGCCTATTATGCCTTCATGTCACGCGCGTTGACGTCAATGTCACGCGCGTTGACGTCAATGTCACCAAAACGTTTTATAACGACGCTCGAAATACTTTTATATGGCGATGTATTAATGAGAGACCCTTTGTTCCAAGATCCGTTGCAGGCTATCGGTAGTAATTCAATAATATACACAGACAATGCCGCTTCAGATTAAAATTCTTTGGTCATGGAGCTCACATTGACCGCTGTTAACGTCATCCACTTTTGCCAATCACGTTATAATTAATGATAACAGCGGCAGATTTGAACCTAACGGGGTCATTTGAAAACCTCGACCCAAAGCGCTGATCTTCACCTTGATTGATGCGACCATTACTTGTATCATTAGGGGGCACGGCAAGACCGTCTTACAGTACCTCAACCATATCATTTCCCCTTTGCCCATGCTCACTGTATTAATATCCCTAAATGAAGCAAGTCTAGATTTTCCCTAGGTTCTATAATGATCTGCATCTCCATTTCACCGAGACTCCTTTTCAATTTAAAGTGATTTATTCTTTTCTATCAAAGGCGTTAGTCTACCACTGGAGCTACTTCTTGCATTAAACGACGGTTTAATTACACTCTTCAAAAAAGAAACGCACAGGTAGTATGTAGTTCATTAAACCTGACTACACAAAAAAAATGTTGATGTATGTTATTGGAAAATGTTGTGGGCCTGATATTCCACAAACGGTACGTCAAAACGCAGCCATTGTCGATTTGCAATGTCTTCAACGGCATTGTTTTCACACTTGTTAAAAAATGTCATGGAGGAAAACAGTTAGGCAAAATGCACGTGCAAGTTATGGCATTCGTAACTCGTGGTAGTGGCTATAAAAAGGCAAGCATAAGCCAATAATTTGTCATTCCATTGTCAACATTTTTCAAGTTCGAAAATGCCGAGACTCGGCGCTGCCGATCGGAACATCGCCCTAGGACGTATCCAAAGAGGGGAATAGCAGTCTTCTGTTGCACACGACTTCAACGTCCACCACAGCACCATTTGCCGCCTTTGTGACCCATACACACAGTTCAATTCCACTGCAGAGCGTCCGAGAACCGACCGACCAAGTGTTATCACCCCTGCACGGGATCACTACATTCGACTGTTCCATCTACGTCATCGCAATACCACAGCTACGGAGACTGCAGGACGCATCCCTGGTTTGAGGAGGATATCGGACTTGACTGTCAGGAACCATCTTCGCGAGGCTGCAATCCGACCCAGAAGACCAATTATCGTCCCTGTTTTGCAACAGATCCATCGACAGCGACGCTTGCCTTGGTGCCACAACTTACTACCTTGAATTTGAGAAACTGGAGACGAGATGGGTGTAGCGTTGAATCACGATTTCTTCTTCACCGGCGAGATGGAAGACAACGTGTTTATCGTCGTCGAGATGAGCATTTTGCACCACATTGTGTACGTGAATTTGACAATTTCGTTGGCGGTAGCGTCATGGTTTGAGGGGCCATATCCTACACCAGGAGATCTGACTTGGTTGTGGTTCAGGGAAATTTGACAGCACATCTCTACATGAATCAAATTCTTCAACCTCACCTTCTTCCAATCATTGACAGCCAGAGGGAGGTGTTTCAACAGGACACCGCTCCACCGCACACAGCTCGTGTCACGGTAGACTCCCTTCATAATGCCAACATCAACACCTTGCCCTGGCCGTCGAGATCTCAGAACACCTCTGGGATGAACTCGATCGACGTGTACGTCAACGTCAGAACACGCCGCAGACACTCCCACAACTGGCCAACCCGTTACAAGCAGAATGGCGCAGAATTCCGCAGGACAGAATTCGTACACTTATCCAGTCAGTGCCGAGGAGATGCAGAGCCTTGATTGCTGGCCGGGGCGGTCACACGAGATACTGAGTTCAGCGCAACCTTGTGGCCTAATGTGACATGACAATGAACAGTTTTCAATGCCTTTGTACAACGACAACATGTGACTATTGAGCTCCAAAATTTCATATTTGTATCTATAATATTAAATTAAATATCTCGACTTTATTAGGTACAATAAATTTACTAAAAATCTACCTGTGCGTTTCTTTTTTTGAAGAGTGTATATCAAGGGGTACCCTACACAACATTCTACAGTTTCCCGATAACGCCCACTTCCAATGAGGCATAATGTTCCATTAACGGACGTCATAGAGGACAATGCGCTGAGATTAGTTCCCACACAAAGGGAGCTGTCAGCTACTATTAAGTCTAACTTGTCCCGGCAGGTTTCCATGGTTTTAGGCCTGTCAGCGTAACATCACATGTATACTATAATGATCTTGTACGTGACTAATCATGTGGATTTGTCAGACATTAAAGCTCTGAAATAAAATAATGAGTGAGTTGTATTTTAAGCCGTTTTAGCAATATTTTAGCAATATATACGACGGGGACATCACAAATGCTGTTCACACATAATACCCATGAGGGAATCGAACCCGGGCTTTCGGTGTGACGAACGAACGCTTCAACGACAATGCCAACCCATAACGCCTTATATATAATAAGGCATTGCTATGTCGGACAAGATCAGAGAGCTATTGAAAAATGTTTGGATTGGGCATTTTGAGAGTGTGGTGAGAGACCGAATATTGTTTTACGTCTCAAATATTTTACGTCAACAAATATTACAACACTATCACACATTAAAACGGGTCCCTTATAGTAACTACATGATCCGATTTACCTACTCTTGCGACAAGTGTATGGGTGAGTGATTATGGTTTAACGCCGATTTTAACTGCACTTAAGCAACAATGCGAGTGACACCAAATTTGGGCTTCACACATTGTACCAATTTTGGGAATTGAACCTGAACCTATTGCGTGACGAGCGAATGCTTCAACCATTAGGCTACCCGACGGCCCCCTATCGACACTTAACACACCACATGCACGCACGCACGCACGCACGCACACACACACACACACATCTATCAACACTAAACACACCATAATACACACACACACAAACACTACACAGCATCTCCTCGTATGCTGTCCTCATAGGGCGGTCGGGTAGCCTAGTGGTTAGAGCGTCCGCTAGTCACCCCGGGTTCGATTCCCCACATGGGTACAATGTGTGAAGCCCATTTCTGGTGTCCCCCGCCGTGATATTGCTGGAATATTGCGAAAAGCGGCGTAAAACCATACTCACTCACTCACTGTCCTCATATTAGCAATATTCCAGGAATATCACGGCGGGGAACACCAGAAATGGGCTTCACCCATTGTACCCATGTCGGGAATCGAACCCGGGTCTTCGGCGTGACTAGCGGACGCTCTAACCACTGGGCTACCCGACAAACCCATCATGAACAAGAAAAATATATATACAAGATCTGATTACAAAATATGTCGTTAAGCCTCGAATAGAATAATGTCTTGAACTTGACGAAGCTAATTGCAAACTTTAACGTCCCATTTATTACGAAGAGCTGTTAATGTTTTTATATCAGACATGCCAGTTCGATAGTGGGTAATTTGTATGTGAGTAGAGGAAACTTTTATACATTTATTATAGATTTGTTCGTAACCCTTTTTGTACATTAAGAGGACAGACGGAGCATCGAAAGAGAGATTCCACAGGATGCTGAGACGTTGGAGGATTAGCGTGTCGTACTTTGGTTAAATTCAGATTTTCTTACGGTATAATCTCCATTCTGATCCAAAATGTTTTAATTTCCCTTGGATAATGTGCAATGAATACAGAGCCGGGTTAGAATAGGTCTTCAGCAACCCATGCTTGCCGTAAAAGGCGACTGTGCTTGTCGTAAGAGGCGACTAACCGGATCGGGTGGTCAGGCTCGCTGACTTGGTTGAAGCATGTCATCGATCCCAAATGCGTGGATCGATGCTCATGATATCAATCACTGGATTGTCTGGTCCAGACTCGATTATTTACAGACCGCCGTCATATAGCTGGAATATTGCTGAGTGCGGCGTCAAACAACAAACCAAACCAAAAACATGCTCGAATGTTCATTGTCTGAAGATGAAAGCAGGTATTGACTGAGAAGAGAAATCACTGTGAAATGTGTGAGTGAATTGGCTTTAACGCGGCTTTCGACTCTAGTTGCGACAATACAGTAACTGCGCTACGTCCTGACACACACATAGTCCACTGTCTACAATGTTGTTCCACGTATTTCTGCATGGACTTTCTTCTGGATGGTCAATTCTTCATATAAAAAAGCATACAGTGAGTGAATGAATAGGGTTTAAACGTGTCCGCTTGTCTTAGGCGTTTACCCCTTCAGTGAAACCAACGAGCACTGGTATGGTGCTGACAAAGCTAGAAACATAATCGGGACGAACTAGGATTCGATCCCACAATCATAGGTTTCTGGCGTGCCCAAGGGACGCAACTCTGCACAGCGAATCGCGGCGCCTTAGACGACTGGGCCACCCGTGCCCCCCTGATGCCATGAAGATAATATTTGTAAATATAGTCGAACACCGTTGTGTCGTACTTTGATGTGTCGAACGTACGTCTGTCTCGAAGTAAAAGCTTGGTTCCTCCGTATTCCCTTTTTATTCATCATTTTCGATTGTTACGAACCTCGGATAATGCGAAGAATTTACATAGGTCCATTTAACTTCGACACAGCAGTGTTTGACTTATAAAGACGAACCATTTGAAAAATCGGATATTGTAAATTTACCAAGGAGAAATCATTGATTGTTTTCCACATGACATTATGCGAATTGCGGCGCATTAGACGACTGGGCCACCCGCTGAGGATGAACATGGTATGTTATCAGCCTGATTCCCTGGGTATGCTGCACTGGCCAACGCAGCATACCCAGGAAACCAGGCTGGGTGTGTTATCTGCGTTACTTACCGTCCAGGATCTGAGTGTGATCTTCCCTTGTCCAGCCCAGACGAACAGCTGCTTCCCATAGCGTTGAGTAGGGTCGTCAGGTTCCAGAAGTACTTTTAAGTGGGAAATTCACAAAGCGTCGACATGGATCGTTCTTGGACAACAAACACAACATTATTCCACCTTCCGAAAGTCGGGAATATAACACTTGACGTTCACATCCGAACTGAGACACGCCAAGAATTGTGCAACCTTGGCCGGTTCACGCAGTCTGTCATCAAAACATTTCACATCACAAATTCATATATGATGCACATCCTCCTTTAAATGACTATCACCATTGTCGCGGTAGCACTGAAGTATTCTGTGTGATAATGTCTATGAGAGTTGACATCCCGTTGTCTGGCGCAGTTCTACTCCTGAAAAGACAAATGATACAAGGTTTGTTTGTTTGTTTGTTATTTAACACCTCACGCTATTCCAGCTATATGACGGCTGTAAATAATCAAGTCTGTACCACACAACCCAGAGATTGACATCATGAGCATCGATCAACACAATTGGAATCGATGACATGCATCAACCAAGTCAGGGAGCCTGAACACCCGATCCTGTTAGTCGCCTCTTACGACAAGCATAGTCGCCTTTTACGGCAAGCATGTTTTACCGAAGACTTAATCTACCACGGATCTTCACGGGTCCGTTATATAGTAATTAGGATTTGCTGTGTCACGGGCACTTGTGAAAGGGTAGGTCGAAATAAAAAACGTTACGATTTGGGTGGCTTCCTATTTGTACCTCTGTCACGCGAGTTCAAAGAACATGGCAGCCCTGATGACTTAAAATAGTAACATGTAATTGTCGCTCAGACTTGCAAGGCTTCCCTTGTCGGTTAATGACCTCCAATAATGTTTTTAACCAGTGCGTCATACCATGCCCTTGACGATATCATGTGTCGAGGGTATATTAAAGGGGGCTTCCCAGCACTGTGTTTGTTTGTTTGGTAGTTTGTTTATTGGCTTAACGCTGCTCTCGGCAATATTCCAGCTATATGGCCACGGTCTTAATAATCGAGTCTGGACCAGACAATCCAGTGACTGTAACCATGAGCACCAATCCATGCAATTGGGATACGATGACACGCATCAACCAAGTCAAATGATCCAAGTAATACTATCTACAAGTGATGCTACCATATCCGAGATACCATCTACAAGTGATGCTACCATATCCAAGATACCATCTACTAGTGAGGCTACCATATCCGAGATACCATCTACAAGTGATGCTTTCATATCCTAGATACCATCTACTAGTGATGCTCCTATATCCGAGATACCATCTACAAGTGATGCTATCATATCCGAGATACCATCTACAAGTGATGCTACCATATCCGAGATACCATCTACAAGTGATGCTACCATATCCGAGATACCATCTACAAGTGATGCTACCATATCCGAGATACCATCTACAAGTGATGCTACCATATCCGTCATACCATTCACAAGTGATGCTACCGTATCCGTCATACCATTCACAAGTGACGCTACCATATCCGTCATACTATTCACAAGTGACGCTACCATATCCGTCATACCATTCACAAGTGATGCTACCGTATCCGTCATACCATTCACAACTGATGCTACCATATTCGTCATACCATATACAAGTGATGCTACCATATCCGTGATACCACTCACAAGTGATGCTACCATATCCGTCATACTATTCACAAGTGACGCTACCATATCCGTCATACCATTCACAAGTGATGCTACCGTATCCGTCATACCATTCACAACTGATGCTACCATATTCGTCATACCATTCACAAGTGATGCTACCATATCCGTGATACCATTCACAAGTGGTGTTACTATACCCGTCATACCATTCACAAGTGATGCTACCATATCCGTCATACCATTCACAAGTGATGCTACCATACCCGTCACATCATTCAAAAGTGATGCTACCATATCCGTCATACCATTCACAAGTGATGCTACCATATCCGTGATACCATATACAAGTGATGCTACCATATCTGTCATACCATTCACAAGTGATGCTACCATACCCGTCACATCATTCAAAAGTGATGCTACCATATCCGTCATACCATTCACAAGTGATGCTACCATATTCGTCATACCATTCACAAGTGATGCTACCATATCCGTGATACCACTCACAAGTGATGCTACCCTATCCGTCATACCATTCACAAGTGATGCTACCCTATCCGTCATACCATTCACAAGTGATGCTACCCTATCCGTCATACCATTCACAAGTGATGCTACCCTATCCGTCATACCATATACAAGTGATGCTATTCACAAGTGATGACCATGTCAACGTATCCACGTAACAAACCACACAAGGGCGTCCAAAACGTCAAACTCTCAGGTATAACCACACGCGTATCACTTGAAACGCAATCCAAACAAGATGGGCTCGACCAATTCAAATATATAACCAAAGTGACGAATGGTTGCCACACGGACCCGCATGTCCTTCACGCCAAGCGTGAATATGAAGGTCAAGGCTACTGCACAGACTCATGCGGCACATTCGGACAGCCCACGTCACCCAATTAACACATCTGTGGAATCTAACTTCCAACTTATTATTTTTATTAATATTTATAGAGGAAATAAAACATATACGCAATCCAAACAAGATGGGCACGGCCAATTCAAATATATATCCAGACTGACGAATGGTTGTCACTCGGACCCGCATGTCCTTCGCGTGAATATACAGGTCAAGGCTACTGCTGCTAGTGATTTGTAAAGGTGCTTTCATTGCCATCATCGATCAGCATATCAAGTTACGCCATGAGCGAGGCGTCTATGATTATCATAGGCGTATTGACAGCAACATGTTGACAGGAAGACCAGGCAAGTAGGCGTTGTACGTTCAAATGGAACCAGCCATATTCTGGTTACACATTCCGTCAATATGTGCAATGCCTGTCACGAATTCAGTAATAGAGAGTGAGTGAGTGAGTGAGTGAGTGAGTGAGTGAGTTTGGTTTTACGCCGCTTTTAGCAATATTCCAGCAATATCACGGCGGGGGACACCAGAAATGGGCTTCACACATTGTACCCATGTCGGGATTCGAACCCGGGTCTTAGGCGTGACGAGCGAACGCTTTAACCACTAGGCTACCCGACCGCCCCAGTAATAGAGAGTCAAGACCAATATAACATCACTCGGTGTTGTTTATGGGGCAGGGGAGGTCGGGTAGCCTAGAGGTTAAAGCGTTGGCTCATCAGTGCATGGGTGCACAGTTTAAACTAATAATGCAAATATAAATAATTCATTCGAAAAACAATTTGCTTTTGCGGGCACAATAATACTTAATTTTGTCACCAAATAAACTAAATAATTCATTATATGTCTTTTATACCATAACATTATTAGTACGCTTCTTGACGCTGTAGATCCGGGATAGAATAGGTCTTCAGCAACCCATGCTTGTCGTAAAAGGCCATTATGCATGTCATAAAAGGCGACTAACGGGATCGAGTGGTCAGGCTCGCTGACTTGGTTGATGCATGTCATCACACCCCAATTGCGTGGATCGATCATCATGATGTCAATCACTGGATTATCTGGTTCAGACTCGAATATTTAAAGACCGCCGTCATAAAGCTGGAATATTGCTGAGTGCTGCGTTAAACAAGAAACGAACGAACGAACATAACGGCATTAACGCATTCACGTTCTACTCCGCGTGTGAATACAACACGTCAGGTAGACGCGGGTGAGACATTTACCTGCACAACATGACGTACATGACGACAGTGCCCAGTGTATGGCATTCAGAATGTAGTGATTTAGGATTTAAGGTTTTTGTGTATAAACATTTGATTCCTTTAAGAAACGCGGAATTAAACCAGTTTCTGGACTGTTTCGAAAGCGATTTGATTTTGTTTCAACATCGCTAAATTATGATCATCATCTAATAAAGTAATAACATTAATAACAATAATTATCCATCAGTTGCATTGCAGGCGTAATCCTCTTTGTAGAGTTTTGATAACATTTGTCGATGTGAGCTTAACGTATACGTGATACAGTATCTTTAAGTGACATTTTGAAGCTGTAGCATTGATGGGGACAAAGTTGACTTCGGATTTCAAATTCTTTGAAACACAAACTGAAATCCAAATCATAAGTCTGTCTCCATGGATACAGTGACATCAAGATAGATCATTAACAGAAATATATCTTGAACTAATGTGAACTACAAGATTTGTCTTCTTAAGGATAATAACACTAAACTGAGTGAGTCAGAGTGAGTGAGTGAGTGAGTGAGTGGGGTTTAACGCTGCTTTTAACAGTATTCCAGTTATATCACGGCGTGTCAGCTTAATGTGGGAGGAAAGCCCGAAATGATGCAGGTCTTAGACGTTTACCACTTCGGTGAAACCCACGAGCACGGGTACGGTGCTGACAAACCTAGAAACATAATCGGGGCGAACCGGGATTCGAACCCACAATCATAGGTTTCTGGCGTGCCCAGAGGACGCAACCCTGCACAGCGAATCGCATCGCCTGAGACGACTGGGCCACCCGTGCCCCCTAAACTGGTCAGAAACGTACACAGACACGGTGTCTTACCAAAGGACTGTTTCCTCAGCACAGCGTTCATCGAGATGTTCTTTACCAGAATGAGGCACTTCATCTGCACAAATCTATATATGTACCTCATCCTGCTTATCTTGTTAAACACTGATATATGAGTAATTGAAATGCAATAAGAAGTCACGTCCAAAAAAAACATTCCGTGTAGGGGCGATTATTTTCGCCCAGCGTTGATCTAAGGGTGCAGGAGTTGTTTGTCACGTTACTATGACGACGTGGTTCCTATATCAACTGAAGTAAAGTCGGTAGTTAAGTAGTTGTTCGTGTCCGGCTGTAGATCACTTCAAGAAAGATAAACGTGCTCTGTGAAAATGAAAACGGGCCCTTGCTTGTCTCGTCGTGAGTGCACTATTTAGTTTGTGAATGTATTCATGATAGTCTTGTTAACTATTTCTTTCTCTCTTTTCTCGTACCGTCAATTCGTGTTCGTATTTTCCCGCCAAAGCAAGGTTAACGATTGCATGTTGTTTATATCCACAGTGATATGTTCGAGCTATGGCCTGTGCAGTATGCAGTCTGGGTGAGACTAGGCAATATTTGGCAGCATTATTGGACGCGAAAGTATTTTTACAATATTCCAATAATATGGACTTCAAACATTGTACCTACGAGGGGAATCGAACCCGGGTCTTCGGTGTGACGAGCGAACGCTTTAACCACTGGGCTTCGCCGAACAAATTTTGTTTTGTTTGTTTGCTATTTTACGCCGCACACACGATATTCCAACTTTTTCTTCTGTTTATAG